AAACCTGACAACACTGACCACTTTCAGACCAACATGAAAGTATCGCCTGGATGAAAGTCAATCTGTTAAACTTGTGCTTCTCAAGAGGGCAACCAAGCTGATGATAGACATCAACAGAAAGAAAGAGGAGAGGAAGAATTTCTGGAGATATTCCTTACTAGTGAAATGCAACCTAATAGATGGAGAGAGTAAGGGTAAAAAGAACACCTTACAGATATACCAACTCCAAGAAGGAATGAGACTCTAAGAATAACAGGCTGCAATGAGTACCTGGGTGGCAAGGAAAATTGAAAATAATCCCACTCACTTGTGAGGGGCACAGCACACAAGGGCCAAGCAAACATACAGTATACTTTGGAAGATGGCTGACATAAGAAAACTGATAGAAGATAAAAGTTTGAAGAGTACAAAGGTGAAAAATGAAAAAAAAATAGAAACTTCTTGCTGTTGAAACAAGACAAAGGACAGAAATAAGGACCACACCAAGCAAAGAGAAGGTTCTGTTAACTATATTGATCATGTCTATAAGAGCATGACATTCACAATACTGCCACTGGATGACAAGGGCCTCTCAACTTAAACAGTTTAAATATATTAATTGAATTTACCAGTGAACAGATTTTCCCTCTCTCTTCCTTAAGAATATTTCTTAATGTGAAGGGGATAAAACCAAAGAACACACAGCAAAATCCTTACAGCACAGAAAAGAACAAACAAAAACTTAACACACATGTGATGTAATGTTTTGAGGGGCATTTTGTCTCATTATTATATCATGACACCACAGCTTCCCTTTATAATTCACAAATGTTCACCATACTTATGAGAGGATGTTATGTAACAGATCATTCATGAAATGATCCATTGGATTCAGAAGTAGCATGCTCAAAAGATAGCTCTTATTCCTCAGTCTCTACTGGTTGGATTGGAATGGTTTTTGTGGAGGTTGGAAAATGGGGTAATATATGGAAATCCTTAAAGTGAGGATGAGATTAACCAGATATAAAAAAAAAAAAGAAAAGAAACTAAATCCACAGGTGATACCAAGTCAAGATCAAACCAAAGTCACACTAGTGGAAAGTTATGAAGATACCCCCCACACAGAACTTCATCACCTAAATGAAATCTAACCCTTGCAAATTTTCCTAACCCTCTGTAGCAAATAGTATTTGTAGATAGCATGCTAAAATATTTGTCAATGAGAGAAAGCTGAGGAATTACTGGTTCTGAATTGGATAATTATGGCAGATTAGAGGCTATCAATAATATCACCTTTGTCAGACTACCAATAATTGGATCACTATAAAAATAAAGAAATTATAAAACCCATGAAATGTTTCAGTTTTGGACATTTTTTTGGTGCATGTGATATGTTTCTCAGCAGTAGATAGATTTGCATCATCAAGAGAGCCCATCCACCTCCTCAATTAAAAGTTCCACTAAGAAAGGACTGCTTTGATTCAGAGGAAGTATAGATTTTGCATCTTTTTGTAACAAATGACAAATAATTTAATGATACAGAAGTCTGGAGATTTTAATCTAAAGATCTCTTTTTTTTCCCAACATGGCAGTAACAAGAGGCTTCTAAAAATAGAAATTGGCAACAAAATATGCTACTTTTAGCTAAACACATTTTTTCAAAGAAAAAAAATTTGAGAACATAATTAGATCATACAGAACTCTAAGTAAACTATTGTGAGCTTGATCGTTGGTGTATTAGCAAGTATACTTTTCCATATGAATTGCTAATTTTGTGAGGGCAACTGCTTAAAATAAATAAAAATGTAAGGATGGATCTACTATCTCTTTTTGGTCAAATCAAACTCTTAAATCTGTTTTCCTTGTGACTTGCTCTTGAGTAATAGAAGTCAAGTTTAGCTTTCCATAAAACATTACCCTTTAGATTAATGAAAGTGACAAAACGACGGAATTGTGTATCTCACATTTCTAGACGTGGTCATCACACGTATTATACAATGAAACTGCACTGGTTACACTTCAGGAAAGCTTAATGATGGAATTATCAGAAGTCACTATTGCGCTCCATAAATCTCTAATAAATTTATATTATTTTACGAACCACGTCAAGAATTTGTTTCATTTGTTTGGCGGTATAGCTAAAAGCGAACTGCGACAGTGTTTCGTACCCCATGTATAGATGTATAAATTCAAGGAAAGCTTCAAGATAGTAAACCACACGTCTAATGACCTTTTATTGTTCTAAACACAATGATTTCCACCTAGGAAAAACAATACTCGCCATGCTTGATGCTTACAGCTGTCGGAAAGAGAGAAACAATTAGAGCTTGTGCCGATTGTTTGTAGAGATTTTCAATAAAAACGTATAAATAATGCACGGCAATGTAAGTGGTCTGTGCCTTTTCGACACCGTTGCAAAATGTTAATCTTAATTTAGGCTTAAGAATTTGAGTACCTCTAAATCAATCAGTTTTGGGGCGCAATATCTTGACAATGTCGTGTTACTGTTGTTAAGAAAGAACGTAGTACGTGGTTTCATTAGTTAATATCGAACGGGGCTAAGGTTTTCCCTTGATTTCCCCGCTAGTCACTTCCGTTTTAAACGAATAGACACACGTTTCATCATTTTCTGTTTATCCCATAATAAAAGATCGCCTTTATTACTTCAATCCCAAAATCCCGAAAGAAAACAACGCACCTAAATTGAGACCTTACCTGTGATTCTTCAGAAACAACGTTGAGCTGCTCTCTTAGTCGAGAATATTTTTCTTCCTCGGCTTTCCTCGCTGCTCTCTCTTTTTTCAGTTCTGGACTCCAAAACATTTTGATACTTCTCATACTGGAGTTTAATTTTGTTTCCTTGGCATCAATTTCCTTCCTCAATCGAGCGTTCTCTTGTTGCAATTCAGCCATTGTTTTTTCGCCCATATCCGCATGAGCCTTCGAGTTCGTGTTGGGTGAAGGCGAGCCACCCAGCGAAGATTCGCTCGAGGAAGGGCTCAGCTTCGGAGAATGGTTCAGTTCGGAGTTAAAAGAATACATCCTGGACTAATCGTTGATATGTAAACCCCGTTAACGGTGCAATACTGGTCTGCCACAAAAACCAATCTAAATGATGGATTTACCTCTCTCGATAATATCTGTAGGGCGCGTGAACTCACATGGGTCTTGTTATTCAGACAATGAAGTACCAGTCTTTTCGTCACAGACGAAGCATTTTCTCGCGGCCCCTTACGGTGTTTTTTCAACTAATCCAGGGGGACGAAGCAGCAATTACAGCGAGCAATTGACAAATTAAGCTTAGAATAAAAAGTGTCCCAATATCTGCGCCATCAATAATGTCAATTTCGACGGTTCATTTAACTGCCGTTGTCGGGGAGACCGCGCCAATTCGATCGCTGAACTTCACTGCCGTTCGAATAAGATGTGAAATTTTCTTCGTTTCACCAGAGAACGAAAATCTCAGACAAAAATGCCAAGTTCGTAACCCAATAAAACGACTGGAAAGTTTTCGTCACCATAATAAGTGCTCACAGAGTCGCCCACGGATCAATAAGCCCAAACAAATTTTCAGCGGTTAACAGATGCCCATATGTGGAAGTGGTCACGCGAAGATGAGTAACGCATTATTCTCGTTATTTCTGGGTGTCACCGTGTGTTCTACAGTTCTTTAAGATTTTTATCAGACGAATATAAGATAGCCCTAAATGCATTCGCAAATGTTTTAAAATACACTAAATTTCGTTAATTCATTGCTTTTCAGCAACAAGTCATCAAAAGAGCACGAGGCAATTTCTTAAAGACATGCTTCAGCGTGACTTAAGCAAGCAACATCAGATTGGTTGCAATCGTAAATTTTTGCCTATTTTTACATAGCTAAGAATAGACTTAGTTACCATGAACAATTAAATGGTTGATAACAATTTGCTTGAGTAAAGCAACAGAATTGAATGGCAGTGCCTTCTCTGTAACACCATCAAAAACTTGCTGTACCTAAACAGCTACGTAGCAGAAAATGTCTCCTTTTCAGCGAATTTGGACTTACGTGAACAAGTGATAGACGCCTTTGAAGGCTATAGTTAAACTCAAACTGTGCTGTCTAGACGGACTTTGAGGGTCTCCCAATAGACTGGAGTTCTTCAATCCCGCAATTCCTACTAACTTTGAACTGCTTTCAATGTCCTTCGGTCACCGGACAAAGCGAAATGTTCCGGAGTAGTTTCTTTTAAAGCTATATTGAGCTGGGGAAACGTTTAATTCAAACGACTTGCGTAACATCAAAAGGGCGGCAGTTGTGAGACTCATAGGCATAGGAATCAAGAGATCATATAAGAAGAGGTTTCGCTCCCTTTTCTCCGCATACACTAAATGGAAGACACTTTCTTACAGTTTACTCGTGGATAGAGGCACGAGTGCGCTTTGGTTTCCGATCGACTGATGGTGAGATCAGTGTAAGAAATTGCATGAACGCTTGTGGATTCGTGATCTATGGACACGAGTGCTGTTTTTCGTCATTGCACGAGACTTCGGCATGGGCCATTTGAAAACTTTTCAGACCTTTACGATTGACCATAAATCAGTCGAAATGCACGCGCGCTTCATGCAATTTTGAAGCTATCATATTCTCAAAAAGTTATCACTTACCAAAGTTCCTTAGTACATTCTCGGCGCACGTTCTTCGAAATACTTTTCAACAGCTTATTAGGAAATGCCTGTCAGTTTTCTTTGAGTAGATCACTTTATGCAACATTTGTGAGACAAACAAGCTCGGTGTTTGTCGAAATATTTCAAAAATCAACTTTTCTTATTTATCTTTAAGAGCTTAAGTTTCACGGAGGAAAGAGCAATATAGACGGAAACCCAGTATTGTGCTCTAAAACCTTTCTAGGTATTCGCCATCGGCCAATCACGAACGTGATATTTTGTTGAAAATATACTGAGATCCAGCTCACATGAGGCCAAGAGAGATTTGACTCACATTGTAAAAAGAAATTTAATTTTTTTCAAATTTTACAAGTTTTGGACGGATTCACAGCTTGGAATAATTCCTCTGATTCATTTATTTACAATACGCTTCCCATCCAGCGATACAGAACACTCTTTCCTTATTAAAATTAATTTTTTTAAATACTATTTTGCCCGTAAATAAAGAAACGAAAATATTACACATGCACAGAAAAGATAAATACTCCTGTCGATTCTCTGAGCTGGTTGGCTTGAAAATTTACAAATTAAGCTTACTCAGGCAATTTTCAAACACTCAAATCGATATCGTTATCCCATTTAACACTGTGAAACTTCGTCAAACTTCACACTTCACAATCGAGTATTGTTTAACTATGAATTATGAGCATCTGGGCAGTATTGTGTATTTAAAAAAATTCGCAAAATGCACTTCATACTGCTTCTGCGGACTACGAATCTTCATGTATTTTCGTAGTTGTCTTGTACAAGCGTTGCCTTACATTCATTTTTGCAGAGTTTTAAGGTAAAATTATTTGAAAATAGCCATATACCACAAAATGAACGAAGAAGTCTTTTGACCACTGATATACATATAACGGCACAATAAAAAAAGTTGATGTGAGTTGAGAAACTTGATTTTAACCTCAGAGTTTAGTTGACTGAAACTATAAGCGTTAACAAAGTTTCGAGTTATGCGAGAGTGTCTGAAAACGAAAGCTACCGTTAACCGTGATATTCAAATGTACACGTAGTTAAGCGGAGTTGCGTGCCACTTGTCAAAATAAAATCAATTTCTGCATGTAAAAGGATTTAGACCGTATTTGGAACGCAAAACTATAAATGACGAAACAGAAGATATTTAAGTGAACTTGAAGGTTATGTACAATATTTTCATTACAATAAAAAGACCAATCCTCTCCTTTTTTATTTAAAAAAAAACATCCAATCGTGTTAATTCCCTTCATTACATTTAGATTCTAGCCGGTCACTTCGCGCTTTTAAAGAACTGTTTATATTCTGATATCAAAAGGATCATCGATGGATGAAGACGAGGGGGGGTTGGGGAGAGCAGGCGTGTCTTCTAGTTCAAAGCACGTCAGAGTCTGATAAGCATTTGGTCCGCCAACATCTCTAGGAACTTTCTTTAACCTTTCATGACGCAATCTGCAACGAGAAGGAACATTCAATTCAATTTTTTTCATTGGCATTCCCATGTATACCAAGTGGAGCAGTAACATCTGGTCTTGTAATCATTAGGATATTTCAGATAAATTCTCACCTCTTTCCGCATCCTTCCCTCCAAGGTGATTTCTTTAACTCTTCAGCGATAGCATGCTCGTCGATTCTAATAGTTTTCACATACAAATACAAATCACAGAAAAAAATATTAACGACAGAACAGGAGGACCAAAAATATACCAACTATAGTAATGTCATTATAAAGGAAGGCTTATTGGGAACCCGTCGTTATTTATCACGGGGGGAAAGAGGAACGAGGGGATCAGGGGAGGACGGGGGGGAGCCTATAGAAAATTGACTGCCAAAGAGGGAGGACCATTACTAGGATTACTTTTGACACAATTGATAGTTGTTTGATCAAGTTGGTGAAGCACATTATCAGAGGACATTGTTCATAATTGCCAGCAATTTTGTCACTGAGGGAGGTATGGCTGGTTCCCTACACAACACTTAGGCCGATTTTTTCTCATTCATAATTATACTTTCTTCGCCAAAACAACACCTGTTGGGACGGAACTTAATAAGATTACCAAACCAAGGAAGGTTATTATGGAGCTTACATAAAATTCTTCATTTTTTACTTTCATTTTCAGTCGCCATTTTGGACAAGGATCTCTATAAGCTGTAGTTATGAGCAACATCTACTTACACAAGCGGATCTTTTCCATGAGAACTGGAGAAATATGGGATAGGTTGAGAATCCAACTACAAAGAAAAAAACAATGTTTCAATTTGCAATACTCTTCGTATTTAGAGGTGCTGTAAAGCTGTATGTGCATTTTGAGTTTGCCATTTACAATATCCGGTGAATGAATATGAAAAAAAAAGGGGCGCAAACAGTGAAGGGCAAAGACAGAGGTCTGAGTATTGCATTGCGGCTGTCTTGTACCCAGACCCCTATCTACCGGGGAGGGTGCGCAAGGAAGGAAAGGAACTCTGGGAGAGCTGTCTGGTAGGCTAGATGTGCAAGGTACTTTACGTCAGGCAAAAAATAAAACAGCACATAAAAAAGGTTACAAAAAGAGTGAAACTTGGTCAAAAATCGCAGCGCGGTAGCCCACTATTTTTATAGGCACTGACCTCGTTTGCTTTGTCGGATTCTTTGGTGTCATTTTGTGACGTAATTTCGTCAGGATCATTTGCTTTAGGGATGTGAGGCACAGTCTGAGGATCCACCAGTACATCATAGGGCGCCATTGGATGTTGGTAAGACACAGGGTTTGTTATGTCCCATATTTTAGGCTGACCAAGAGTACCTAGAGCACAAAGAGTTTAAATATACTGCTGTGATTTTTGTCGACGCCAAGCAAGATATCTATGAAAATTTGTTTGAGAGACGAAAGGATAAAATCAATTAAATCAACACTAAACAACTAACAATGTGAAAAACAAAGTATGGACCGCCGACACTTGAATGGAAGACGGATCAACAAGAGGAGTATTTATCACCCTACGCTCTTGACTTCAATGAATCAAATTGCTCTTACTGCGACGAAGGTAGAAGAGCCAGTTTTGAATACAACTGGAAGAAAATCCCGGCGTCTGTCATCTTTAAGGTGACAGATTCTGCAGAGACGCAGAAGAACTAGTTTCTAAACTACAGGGGGGTACAAGGTATGCTGTGAAGGGTACTACAGGGGGGTACAAGGTATGCTGTGAAGGGTACTACAGGGGGGTACAAGGTATGCTGCGAAGACAAGAATCTTCTTCATTAAAATAGTACGAAACAAAACATACCAATGAAATGTCCGTCCATGGTCCAAAGTCTGACTGTACAGTCCAAAGACGCAGTCATCAACACGTCAATATTCCATATATCCAGCGGTTCAAGGCTGAAAATTTACAAATAAAACATGTCCATGATGCTGCATTTTAACAGGCAAGTTTTCCTTACCAAGTTCGCATGTCGAGGGATAATTATTCGCTATACGAAGAAAAATGTCAACTGAAGCATATTGTTAATCAACAACAAATTCCCAGAGCTAAAATTGTGAGGCAGTGAGGAGAGTTGATACCTGGACAATAAATGTGATCAGGTTAAATTGGACCTTGTCAGTTGTTGGATAACAGAACTTGCAACGGAGAGACTCGTCAACTATCCAGTCCATCTGCGTTCCCAAGGGGAAAGTATAATTGATAATTTGGTTGTTCACAGATGCCTTAAACCATGGAATTGCTTCCCGTTTCTAAGACTCATGGTTCCTTCACAGTTGAAAGAGAATTGAAAAAGAAAAAAGAAGAGAGAATTGCTTACCTGGTGATGCTCTGCACATGTGCACGCCAAAAGAATAGACCTACAGAAACAGAGATAACATAACTCTTAACTTAAAAGAACCATGCAATTTTGATAACTATACGAAGGGGAGGTTCACACACTCTCTAACGATTAGTAACACTCCATAGTTAAAACACGTTATTTCCTAAAGAATTTCAAAGTTATTTTACATACGAGCGCTTGCATAATTTTAGCCCCACAATTCAATGACGAATTCTTATTCTGAGGTGGCCTACCTAACAAAAAAGTACCTTCGTTTCTGCACGATAAAAAGTACGTAATTAGGGTTATGATTCCCCATGCAGGCACACTCAAACTACACAAACTATCAGTTGCGACAGAAGGTCCTAGCTTGCAACTACTCGGAGAAAATCATTAAGTTCCACTCACGTTCCGGGGGTTTAGTGGTTTTTCCTCTCATACCGTAATCCTCGACATCCCAGACCGAGATGAAACCTGAAGAAATGAAAACCCAAGAACATTTTGAGGATTAACAAGCCTTGAAACTTTTGGGCGACAGTATAGCCGCTGTTGGTTCTTTGCTACCAAAACAATGAAAGGAAAACTTATTCATCTTTAGAGGTAAGGAAAAGCATTTTGTACCTCCAGGATATCGTAATTGTCCACTGCCGTTTTGTTCCCCCCAACCACCCCCACAAGTTCAAGATGTATCTCACAACCGAGCGGGGTGAATAGGTGAGAAGTGTGATAAATACGGAATACACGCACGGACGTGTTGCAATATTCTCCATACACATCGAAAGTCAAAAAATGGAATCAAACTACCACGACAAAACAAAGTCCACCATTACCGAAGCAACAACAAGAAGAACGACAAACCAAACAATCCACCAACCTGCTGAATCAGCGGTAACGAGTTTGGTATCGTTTGAAACCGACGTCAAGGTGGTGACACCATACTTGGACTGTGAACAAAAAAGAAGCACGATGAGCCTTTGTAATGTGCATGTCTAAAGATGAGGTTAGGTGGTCCATGCCGACGGAACTAATCACGATTTGCGTATCATGAAACATGATACCACTCCTCTACATAACGTCAGATTTCCCTTCTAATCTTTCCATACCCTCATTATTAGCGGGAAGACTTGAGACGACTTAGTGAGAGGTTTGCCGGGGGTCTGGCACCAATAATCAGTACTAGACCCCTTGCAGACCCTTTGGCCGATTTGCATTGCACATTGCACACGCTAAAAAATCGCTCACCGGAGAAAACGAAGCGTAAAGAGTGCCACCAGTGTAAATATTCCAAAAGTGAATCAGCCCTACGGAACAATAGCCACAATGTTAGTAGAGCATAAAACAAGAGCATTTCAGGGGGCACTTTTAATATCGGTAGCCTACAATTTGCGGAAAAGTCAATGTACACAGCATCTCTTTCATAATTAGGGATACTGCAAATGTACTTGACGGTGCGACACCTCGAAGAATAAAAACAAACTAACGAACAAGAGAACACATCATTCGAGACAATCATTTATTTTTCAGTTTTGCGCGTCCTCTTTTGCTAGGCAAAGAATAAAGCCGACAATAAACGCCTAGAGTAAACGTTCGTGGTAAACTGAACAAAAAGCCAGAACTCTGAAAAAGATGCCCCGTTTGGTCTTACGTCAAAAGGGGCACCTACGGGCTTTGCGAAATCACATTGTAACGGAGGATATCACCTTGGTCCTAACGATGAATGGGACATATTCGTTCGATAACATATAGTAATACCTTGTGGTCCACTGGCCACCAGAGTGGCAACGTCTTTCTTCATTGCTCTAGCTTTCAAGAATATTATCTTACTAACAGCATTTCCTCCATCCACTGGGAAACAAAATAAGAGCATGAAATATGACCATTCAATTAATTCCGATAACCCTTGAAAGGTCGAGCGATAAGAGCAACTGTAATTGTCTGTTCGTGAATTTTTTTTTATCGAGTCTCAAAAATAACCCGACGCAATTTTAGTGTTTCTTTACTTTACACCACGATTAGTTTAAAAGCTCGCACCATCCTCAGTCAGAAATCGAATCCAAATCTAAAAATGATGACGATTTGTCGCTTGCTTTTCCTTCACTTATGTCCAGAAATGCACACAGTAACGAAAATGACAGAGTTTACGAAACGAAAGAGTTTTTTTTCGTCGAACCGAGTGAATATTCATGGATTTGACGATTTGGCGAATTTTCGTCAAATTTGTGACAGCGAAATAAGCTTGGCGGAATTGATGATTTTGACGATTTTGACAAATTTTAGTAAATTCGTCGAGGCGAAATCAGCTGGGCGTATTTGACGATTTTAACGAATTTTCGCCATTTTGGTTACTGCATGCATTTCTGGACTCTTTGCTTTATGCAGTTTGCTTTTTTTTTATTTTGAGCTCTTATCGGCTCCTTGTGATATTTTCCTATGCTCTGATTGGTTGCTGGGATAATTTCGTTTGGTTTTACGTTATCTAACAGGGGTTTCAATAAAAGTCTATTACTAGCGGTCTGCCGCTTATGGACACTGAAGTTATTTAAAACACCTGCTCTGTGAAAATGCACTCTGCGCACGTAGAGTGGCACTGACGCCATTTATAAAAACCTGACATTAAGGAGGCAAACCCTTAAGTAAGTTCAATAGTCCATTTTACAGTTGCGTGCTTGGCTGCCAAGCCTTTGAACAGGAGTGAGGGTAAGAGTGACCTTGTTATGATACAAACCTTGCTGCTTTTCAGATGTATATTACTTTGTTATCATGCTAACTAGATACTGGTCTCTATCACCAGAAGGTTACCCTCAACCTCACTCCAAATCAGAGGCTTGGCAACTAAGTACATAGCTGTACAGTGGCCTATTCAAGACTCTTTGGAAATCGTAGGAAATGTATGCTGCGTCCAGGTGAAAAAATTGTGTCTCGCCCGTTATGCTTGAAGTCGCCATAACCGATGGCTTTCTTTGCGTACTTACAGTCTTGAGAAGACAAATTCTCCCCGTTCTCTTTGGTCGCAAAGGGTGAAAATATATGGCAAAATATATGCCCCGAAATCTGATTCCAGATGATGATCTATACGAAAAGAAAGATGGTACATGTACTTATGTAGTTATCATGACGGCAAAAACAAGAGCGACCAAAAAGTGTTTCATGAAATTTAAAAGTGATTTCAATATCTATGGTAAAGCATTTTGAGACTGCGTGCTACAGACCAAAGTTCCGAGCATAATATTCCAGTTGATGAAACTGTTTTTGTACTTAGTCGACTAGGGAGGCCATGAGCTATTGTACACGGAACGAGGACAACATAGCCAACAATTCTTGAGCTATCAATTGTGCCATTGAGGATTACTGTCTTTATCTATTTTCTTTTTACGTGTTAAGGTTAAAACATGTTAAAGACTGTGAAAGCTGTTCCAAAGAACATGAGCTGATACGAACTCCAGTCCAGGTTGTTCGAAGGGTGCCAAGTTAATGTTATTCTCTGGATTGCGTTGGACAGTGCCATATTTTTAATAAACAGTTCTCCGCCGGATAGCAATTTATCTGATGGATAGCGTTATCCACCCTTAAAACAGATTGGCCATAATTTGCTATGAAACTGAATTAAGTGGTTGTACCTCGCCGTCATAACTAGAAGTTGCCAGAAGGTTTGGTGGACTAACTGCTATCGACAGTATATCTTCTTTGTGGCCGTTGACCTAAATACACAGATAAACAAAGGAAAGGTGTAAAACGCTACATTTGCGACTATTATAATTGTTGGAGACACTTTTAAAGAGAAAATATGCTCCACTATCGAAAAGGATATAAACCATTTTACTTTTATTTTTTTTAACAACGTTTCGAAAGTGTAATAAAATGAATTAAATGTTCGACAATAAGACACCGCCGTTGGAACATCCTACTAGCCGCACATCTAAAAACCTCAATTCGCTATTCACAAACAGCTGCTGCTGCGGGTGGCGTGAAAAAAATGTTAAAATGTGAATCAAGGGTTCCTCCTTGTTTAGCTCCTTGTCGTTCAAAGACATTGACCAGAACTGAAAAAGGATGTGAGAATCTTTAACGTAATTGGTGAGCGGCCAGTTTACCGAGCAAGAATCAATATGGCAGCATCCGAAGTCGAACTTAACACATTTGAAGGTAATATACGAAAGGTCAGATTTCGTGTTCCGGAATCACAAAACGGGGTCAGTCTAATAATTTCACATTTGCTAAAGAAAGGGAAAAAATATATTGGTTATTTATTCATACTCATCCCTGTACCGGACGCATGAAGCTATAACCCCACCACCACCTTACTTAGATGGAGATGCAGGGCACTGGCACTCATACATTATCTGGGTCGAGAGATATTGTAAGACTGAAGTGTCTTTCCCGAGAACACAACACAATGACCTAGCTGGGGCTCAAGTCCAAAACCCCTACTTCCCAAAGGGGGGTTGTATGGTGTAAATAAACTTACCAGGTCGTCTTTCCAGTAGGCATATGGATGCTGCACGTGATGAAAATCTTCATTATCATCCTGTTGGAAGATGTCAGAACAACATAATCAATGCAGAATTATATATAATAAGCTGAATTATGCACGCAATTCGATTGGGTCATATTTACGATCTATTGAAAGACAGACGCAAAGATGACGTAACCATTGTTAACTTTGCTTTTCTATCATATAAAACAAAAAGATTTCATGTTGCTATGCGGCATGCGTCTGTTTTGAAATAAATCAGATAAGACGTCAAAACGTGGAAAGAACGTCAATAACACACTAGGCTGCGCCTCATGATATGTGCCCTTTTTTGTTCTTATTTCGGCTGTGTCTCATAATATGTGCTCTTTTGGTTCTTATTTCGGCTGCGCCTCATGATGTGCCCTTTTTGGTTCTTATTTCGGCTGCGCTTCATGATATGTGCCCCTTATTTGTCCTTATTTCGGCTGCACCTCATGTTATGTGCCCTTTTTTTGTTCTTATTTCGGCTGCGCTTCATGATATGTGTCTTTTTGGTTCTTATTTCAGCTGCGTCTCATGATATGTGCCCTTTTTTTTTGTTCTTATTTCGGCTACACCTCATGATGTGCCCCTTTCTTGTTCTTATTTCGGCTGCGCTTCATGATATGTGCCCCTTTCTTGTTCTTATTTCGGCTGCGCCTCATGATGTGCCCTTTTTTTGTTCTTATTTCGGCTGCACCTCATGATATGCACCCCTTTCTTGTTCTTATTTCGGCTGCGCCTCATGATATGTGCCCTTTTTGGTTCTTATTTCAGCTGCGCCTCATGATATGTGCCCTTTTTTTGTTCTTACTTTGGCTGCGCTTCATGATATGTGCCCCTTTCTTGTTCTTATTTCGGCTGCACCTCATGATATGTGCCCTTTTTGGTTCTTATTTTAGCTGCGCCTCATGATATGTGCCCTTTTTTTTTCTTATTTCGACTGCACCTCATGATATGTGCCTCTTTCTTGTTCTTATTTCGGCTGCGCCTCATGATATGTGCCCTTTTTTGTTCTTTTTTCGGCTGCGCCTCATGGTATGTGCCCCTTTTTGTTCTTATTTCGGCTGCACCTCATGATATGCGCCTCTTTTCCGTTCTTATTACATCCCAACATCATCTGTGATCTATTGTTACGGACGCACGGCGACATGGGATGTATTTGTTTAACAGAGTGAAAACAAAGCTCATCACAGATTGAAGCTAATTAACAGCCTCCACAGTTTTTTGCCGGGAGCGCTGTGGGTAAAACAACCAGCTACAGAAGCTAATGCATTGTATTTAATTTCCAAAAGTCACTTACGGAAAAAAGATTTATTCTTCTGTCCCAGCCGACAGAGATGATATATCTGTAATGCAAAAGGCAAAGGTTGTAGGTATTGGTGTCGTGGGTTAAATTTTAATGGAAAATGTCCAAGCTCATATGGAAAGTCTTGTAATTTTTTGTGAAGCGTTTTAAACAATCTCTCCAGCACAAAAACGAAAAAACATAAAACAAAACAAGAACGTTTTACTGTACCTGTTTTTATTCAGTACTAAGTATGTCAAATCTGCCACTTCGTCCACGTCACTCTCTAGCACCAAACGAGAAAAAAAATTGTTATGAATGAAGGTTTTTACGAAAGGAATAAATAAACACGTTAGTAACACATACGTGTACAAGCATGGCTCAGTTCCACGATAGTTTCTACTACGTTGATGCCAGCTACTGGCCAACAGCCACACATGCACGATATTGAGGCGGGTAAATAAATTGTCAGTTAACGAGCTATAGCACAGAGTAGCGAAGAGCGAAGAGCGAAGAGCGAAGAGCGAAGAGCGAAGAGCGAAGAGCGAAGAGCGAAGAGCAATAAAGCAGTTTTCCAACTGAGTGCAGGAAAGTGATTTATAATTCCAATAGTCGTACTTTATGCCGCTCTCTGATTGGTCAAGAAAACTCACACCACCCTCTTAATCGATCAGATGTAAAACTGAAACCAATCATGACTAAGTCACTAATGCTTCAAGCAGCTTCCTGATTTTTTCTTTACTTTCCCATAGTTTCTTTGCAATTATGTCACAACCTCCCACCCTCACACCTTCAGATGTTAGGTAAAAGTGGCGATGAGCTCGGAGTAAGATTCAATGCAAGTTGACTAACAGAAGCCCAACCTTTTTCTAGTGTTCTTAGACAGTGGCCATTGTTGTAGTTCCATATTCTAAGCCGGCCGTCCCTTCCACCAGTTATTAACCTGTGCAACGACAAGGAAAGGATGGTTTTAAACCTCAAGAATTCTGTTGAATACCCTAACATTTCACGACCAAAGAAGTGAAGCCCCCAAACCAGGGGTCAAGAATTTTCGAAGTAAATTACCACTAAAGATGGACGCTACACATTTGTCACGAGTAAAGGACAGGGAAAATGAGTCCCTCGAGAAGATTCGAGGCCCAAACAGAGGAATACATCTTTTATCTAATGAATTCTAACTTCTTTGTTTGTTTCTCCCCTATTGCCTGGGTGTATCATGGGTTTCAATAACTTTTTCCATAAGCGGCTGTGCCCTAAAGCAAAATTCAAACGCGAGAGCCTGCTCGCGACTAAAGAGACGGCGGTGAGAGGTCTTTCAGGCGATGTTAGACTGCCTTTATTAAAACCCATGAGAGCGCGCTTTTGACGTTTAAGTGTTCATTTGCAGTGTGGATGAGTGATACTAAAACCCTACCCGTAATACACGTGCAAGGTTTACACAAGAGTAAGTTTCGATTGCAAGAGGAAAGCGAGGTGTAAAATCTGTTGAGTACCTTACCACGATGGGTAGATGTTGTTTGTCAAAAAGTATTTGCTAACCTTCTTTCTGTAGAGTCAAAGCTCATGCATGTAACAGCTTGATCTCCATGCGCTTGTGAAAACTCAAACACTGACCGACCCGTCTCCAAATCCCAAACTTTAACCACCTGAGGAGAGAAAACGTTAGTCAAGGCACGCAGGTTAAGGGACTGGCTCCGCGAGTGGGTAACATGAAGCAGAACCTGTGTTTTGTTTTGGTCATTCGAGTGGGCCTGAAAGGCGAAATACCCGCATTGATCTCACAGATTAAAGGAGATACTTGCAGCCGGTTCGGTATACATACTTCGTAACTTGTGAGGAACTTTTTCTGCTAAAAGAATCTTTCTAGACAGTTTTTACCGCAGCGGGAATCAAGAACCAAGTTTTGAGGATGATGAAGAAACAGACAAACTTAAAAATAGGAAAAAGAGAGAAATAAAAAACCGTCGACGGGTTTCCTATTTCTTTTGCCATTCTTTGGTATGGTCGTGAACCGTTTCATCATTTTTAGAAAAGAGAATTAATGTCAAGGAAGTTAATTCATTTCAACTTACGGAATTTTCCGAGGCTGTGACGACATGTTTAAAGCTTTTGTTGTACTTCAGACACATCACTGGCTCCTTGTGAGTTGTTATCATGTCTCTTGAAGAACTTCTGCAATTCGAATTGAAAACATCTACCAGTTCAATGCAAGGCATATGCTGAAAGCCAAAAACGTTGCTACTAGACAAAGAATAGTGACTAATAAAGCAAAGAAAACAACAAAAAGAAGACATATTGTTCGTAGGTAATTTTGTACTTCCAGCTAGAATGTCTGACTTGCAAACAGTACAAACTTGCTATGTGTCGTGTCACGACCACGAAACATGATCAACAACCACGAATCTGGTAAGCTCTAAATTTTCTTCAAGTTAAGAATGCTTTCATACTTCAAGTATCAGTCTTACTGTTTAATATGTCACTATTAACACAAGTTAGGGTGAAAGTGAAATTAGCTTGTGGGTCAAAACGCCGATCACGCCTGGAATTATTGTTAGAGACCCTCTGCAAACAACCATGGCGACTGCAACGACAACGAAGTGATACAAAAGATTCAATGAGCGGAGCTAGGTTGTACCCCCAGATAACACTATCCAATGGATAAATCGCTATCCAGCGGAAGAGTGATAAAAAGTGCTCCGTTATCCACTGGATAGAGATTCATCCTGTGGATAGCATTATCCAACCTTTGAACAGCCCAGGCCTGAACAATAGACTTGTGCATGCGTTTGAAAAGTTTGTCCTCTGTTAAACAGCAACATGAAATCACCGATTTTTGCGAGGTCCGAGAACGAGAACCCCGAGAGTAAATTATTTATATTTCTACTTGGTACTCAACGGTGCCCTCAAATTGTTAAACTGAAGACAAGGTCTGACGCTCTTTAAGATGATACAGTTATGGAGTCACGCGTGAAATTCTAAACAAAGATACCAGCTCATTTATTGAATCAAAGTTTTCGTCGGAGTCGTCGTCAAGAATGCTTAAGGCCTCTACTATCCCAGTTTCCATCGCACGAAGCGACAAGAAGTATTGCTAATCCCCCCGGGAGAGAATGCCAGTTAATTGCAGGTTACCACCCACCTCTTCCCCCCCCCCCAAAAAAAAAAAAAAAAAAAAAAAAAAGACCTTTGCATTAGCTTTTGCTGACAGTTTGCCGGTACATCATGTTTTCTTTTATTTTGATTGAGTACCAGCAAACTTTCAGCAAAAGTTAACTAAAATAATTCTGTATGAAGAGAAATCACTGAGAGGATAACTCCAGGACAACTCGATTTGGGGATTAGCCTACAGAGAAATGTTAAACTAACCTGTTCTTCAGAGGCAAAAGAGCTATTTGCTCAGATGTGGCAACAGCAAGACCTCTACTAGCAGAGTTGTAATGAATGGCTGACAATTCACAAGAAGAACATTTTTAGTTAAAAGGTCAAGAGCAAGTGAAGAACCAGTCATTATTTTATATTTCCTAAATCAGTATACTTCTCGGCCCCAGTACCTACCCGCTAGATCTCCTCTAATCTTGTGTGCTTTGGGTCGTACAGTCAGCAGACAAGTGTGATCATGAAGATCCCACACCTGATCATTTCAATGGATCGCAACGTTAGCAATAAATACACAACAATGGATTGTCATCATTGAAACTTCGCTTGGTGGAAAGTATAATAACAGAAAATGGAGCACATTTCGATTTAGAGTCTAAATAAAAAACTGGCTCATCAGAACAAAGCAAAACATTTTCTAGGGAACTTGAGAGAGACTTAGGTAAAAAAAAAAAAAAGCGAACTGCTTGAAAGGCACGACAACGCGAGTGACCAAGTCACCACTGGTTTTGGTATAGAAACTGATTGGTTGAGAGAATGATTCAAGATTTCCGTTCCGAACAAAAAGCATAATAACACAAAACTAAAGCAACCCAGGTTACTAGACACTCAACTGAGTGTCGACAGTAATCCGGGACTGCTTTTGGTGACCAATCAGATTCAAAACTTAACCCAGCCCTGATTTAGTCATTCGCGCTTTCTCGCCTTTCCCGCCTCTTTTCCCACTGTTTTAACTTGGAGTTCTAATTGGCTGATGACGATGTCAACCTTCATTCCAATAGGCTGCTGGGATTACTTGGTTTTTCGTCTTTCGAAACTGAAGTGAAAACTGCTTCAATGTTGAGACGTGATGATCACACAAAGTAAGTGGAAAACTTGTTTAATAAGGTCGGGACACCATGCTTTGTCGCCATACCTTGACAGTTTTGTCCGTAGATATACTGAATATTCTGTCATCTTCTGGGCAAATAAACAAATGAAAAATCGGCGCCGTATGTCCCCTTAAAAGACCCGTCGGTTTACTAATAAAAACAACAAACAAAATAACATCCTTAATCACGACTTAATCAGCAACTAACAAGTTGCAACTTAAAGGATTGATAGAAATTGATGAGGGTGTGTGGCAGGGGAAGGCTCTCAAACATTTGGGTTAGAGTTGGAAGAAAAAGTTTACTTTTGCAATTACAAGGGTCTCAATAACTTTTTCCATAAGCTGCTACGGGTGGTGTTATAGGCGGCTGTGCCTGATAAGGGGCCCTAAGACGAAACCAAAACATGAAAGCCAGCTCGCAGGATAAACAGACCGCGGTGAGAGGTCTTATAATCGGCAGAAGACCGCCCGCCGGTAAACGGCTTTTACTGAAACCCTTGAATTAATCGAGTTTGAAATACGCAAAATTTGGAGCTGCTCGCGGGTTGAAACTAACTGAAATATTCTGGGTGGCCAGGTGCTAATGAGCACTAACATTCTTTGTAAAATTTCTTCTTTTTACCATCGTGTGGCTGAGAGAAGTTTAGATGTATCGAACTGGACATTTCAGAGAAATGTAAATATGTCCTAATATTTCGATGATTCAGTACCAACATTTTTGTAGCTTGATAGGAAAATGAAGAGCTCATGTTAATAAGCAAAAATATGCAAACAAACATCCTCCTATGGAAGGTAGGTTTCTTGGCTAAAGATCCTGTTTGAACATAGAGCGTTGAATACAAATTATCAATCTTAAATGAGAATGGTAAATACCTTGGAACGTAAGGGTTCCACATTCGCACAAGTCTGTCCATTCCTTCAGGGAGAGAAAAATCGATTTTGGTGAGTAAGAGATATTGTAAGTACACGCTCCAATAGCTTTGGGATCATAATTCAACAGTTTAAAACTTCGTTTAGAAACTTTTAAAAGTGCCTCACCACAAGCTTTACGTCTTGTAAACTAGATATATATGCTTGGCAAATATGGTAAAACATCCCTTAAGGACTCTCTAACGATTTAAATCATTGGTGTTAGGGGTTTTAATCACTTGAGTTAAGTCAAATCGTTTTAAATCAGCACGCCCTACGTTAAATCGCTGTGTTCTCTCACGGTGCATCTCTCCACCTGGGGCATGTTCCAACACTTATAAATAGGCCATTAGGGTGGTACAAGACACATTAGAAAAGTTTCTAATTGATTGTCGTAAAACAAAACCAAGTAATCACAGCAGCCAGTCATAACAAATGTTTGCGCCATAAGCAGCCAATGAAGACTCAAGGTAAAAACAGGCAAACTACCAAAAGCGCGGGAAAACACGAGTGACCATGTCACGTTTAGTTTTCGTTTGGCGTCTGATTGGTTAAGAGCCTGGCACGAGTTTTCTAGACCAATCACGGACCGAAGTAAAGCAGAACCAAAGAAATCCCGAGTTACCTCCGACACTCAATTGATACTACACCCAGAAGAAGCACAGACAGTATCACAGACACAATACAACATCAGAAAAGGGTTTAAATTACGCCCTACCTCCAGTCACAATGACATTTTTCTCTTTGCAGAAGTCAAATGTTTTGACTCCTTTGTACACTTTGAACACTGTCTGGTCACTGTCTGCCCGTCTCCTTGGCTGCATGTCGCGGGAAGTGAAAGTTTGAATTTTCTTTGAAGCACCAGTGGAATCTTTTAGTTGTGATTCTACATGAGTGCTCCCCATTGTTTGACCTGAAAACAAAGAAAATCTTCTTTCACTCAAAGACTGAGCTCACAAGTTACCATCTTTCTTTCAAAATTTGCTCCTAAAGTTAAGCCAGAACGCAGCACGAAGTCGTTATATTATCATGGCTGTGATTATTTAACAAAAGTAATTTGTGACTACTTTAATTTCTAATGCCATTTTCATTTTTCAACCACAGATTATCTTTTAAGTAAAGTTTGCTTTCTATGCGTTAGTAAACAGTAAAACATCAGTAGAGTGTGGGGAATATAGTTGCATTGTGAAATCAAAATATGTCCTGGATTCAACTTCAAAAATAACCAACCCTGCCTCAGTCGAGTCTCAGTTTCTCTCTCTCTAGTGTGGCTTTTGAGTCACTTCAAAAAGATCTACAGCGATTTAGTTGGGTTCCTTAGTTCCTCTTCCCATACAGTTTAGGACCTCGCCTCACAAATGAGTTCCTAGTGGCTACACTAGCCTAACACGTGACCGCAAAATCGGAAAAGGAATTGGAAAAATCGGAATCGACTCCTCACCGGGGCGCGGGGAGTAATAACCTCAGATTTTATGTATTGTCAAACGTGTGACAGAACTATTAGGTAACTCACCAATAACCAAAGCTGTTTCTGGGTGATTTGAACAAGATATAACGGCTCTCAAAGAGTCATAATACTTCAGCTGGGAAACCCAGTCTTCGTGCACTTTCCACCTAAAACAGAAACATCAGAAATCCAACAAATTGGTTTGGTCCCAAACATGCAAGCACGAAATGCCAGAAATACCATACAAAACGCCAGTCTTCCATACAAAAAAACTATCAGTTGTAAACAATAAGGGATTGAGTTTGTTGCAGTTAAGGTAAGTTACATGTATGTTTGCGAAATCCGACAATACCAAATGTATATTTCCTCTTAACAAAGCTTTTATGAAGATTACGAAACAATGTCCTTCATTCAAACAGTACTGCAATATCTATCAATAAAACAGCAGATAACTCTACCTGATACAGGTGAACCTGGCATTTTCCGAATTCACAACACTGAAGCAAGAAAGAAAACCAAGATTAAACACCAGAAACTAGGAACAAACTACACAAAGTAGCCGTCAGTGTTGAATTAGTGACATCATATTTTCTTTTCAGTTTGAGACAGCTCTTCAGTACGGGGGTAATTTAAACAAAATTAAGCACTTTTGCTACAAGAAACGAACCACAATGCCAAACAAGGTTATCTGTTTGTGCCAGAGTGAGTCAGTTTAAGGCAAGCAAAGCTGGCCAAGAATTTAGATGGTTCTAGTTTCTTATAATTAGGCTCCTTTTGTTCGAAAGGTGGATAACGCTATCCATGGAATAAATCTCTATCCGCTGAATAGCTATTTATCCGGTGGATAGCGTTATCCGCACTTTGAACAAACAAATCTGACCCAGATTGGTCAGTTTTGTTGGAGTTACTGGCTCCATGAAAAGCTAGATAGTGAAACTATTAGCTCTTGGAAATAATTTTGAATGAAGTCAAAGATTTTTCAAAGATTTCTGTCAGGATCCTCTATAAGATCTTCAAAGGTCCTCATGAAGATCTCTAAGGATCATAAAGGATCCTTCTAAGATTTTCACTGGGGGTAAGCTCATGATCCGTCCACACAGTAGTAAAACTATAATTATCTTAGACTAGCAAAATAGTAATTGAAATGGACAAACGTAACACTTATTCAAATATCATCTTGATAATTAAAAAAATATATATATTAAAGCGTTGATCAATTCTAGGCTTCAACATCCCCCCCCTCCAGGCAACCCACAGGCATTTCACTGTTGCCTGTGCACAAGGGGTGAGGAATTTTAAACTTACCTGGCTGGGGTAGGGAATTTGAACTGGAAGTGTCGAGTATTTTCAGTGGAATACAAGTGTTAGATCTTTAAATATTGAGGTTTTTAAGGCAAATGGTTTACTTATGCGAGCAAACGGCCAAGAAAAAAGGTCTACAAGTTCTAGGTTTTAAAACTAGATCAATGAGTACAAAGTCATAAATGCTGATTTCACCTTTTACAAAAAAAATTGGGTGGGGCATTTCAATAAAATTTTGCCCCATGGAAGGGGGCGGAAATTTGAACAAACCAATCTTGAAAAGTTCAAATGCCTGAGGAGTTGGCCAAGGGCAGGATGTTGAAGCTTTGAATTGATGGACGCATAACCTCACTTACTTACTTAAATATGTATACAATGTATACAATCTTGTCACCAGCATGGAACACAGTAAAATAAGAGTCCTCTAGAAAAATCCAAACTTCAGACCTTCATATTTCATACTCTGATGCTCTACCACAGAGCTTACAGAAAATTTATGGTGAGCTCAGAACCATTACTATATATTTGTATGTGAAAACTGTGACAACTGTCCTAAAAGCATCATTTGATTACACATGATGAAATGCAATTTAATAAACTTGGTGTGTGATTATTTCACGTACCTATCTATATTTACACTAGCTATCCCTTCAACTTTTGGCATCTTCTTCCAATTTCTGTAAAAATTGAAGAAGAAAATGTTAAATTTTTTAAATTTAACAATCCTCAGGTTAGTTGGTAACACTCAAAACCAACTACAATAACTAATTAAAAATAAATAACTTTTTTATGTTTTACGTAATATTCAAATATTGTGTATCTTCTTGAACAAAAGACAAATTCAAAACACACCATGCACCTCTACACATACTTAAAAATTCATCACAAAGCCAAGAAACCTTACATTGTGATACAATCATGTAGCAAACAATTTTTTTTAAAAAAACATGCTGTCTGTCATTTAAAAGTAGCGAGAAATTTATTTGCAGAAATTGAATTAAAAACACATTACAGTTTTGGAAGAAGATAGGCAAAAAAATTTTTAAATTTTAAAAATTTTTTTGCCTATCTTCTTCCAAAACTGACAATCTGAATCCTTAATTTGATAATTATTTTAAAATATGAAAACTCTTCAACAACAGAGAGTGTTTCTTTCATCTCTGAAATTTATGTCTTTCACCCCTAAGAGTGATTGGCATCTAATTTATCCCCTGAATCACAAAATAAAGGAAATGAACAAAAACAAAAGACGCTCTTGATTGTTAACAAATTCTTGTTGTTGGCACCTTAGGAAATGTGTAGATAACAGTATAGAGAATATCCATTTGGATCTCATGGTGTTGAGGCTTCAAGTCTGAATAGCAAACAATACTCAAAAGTGGTACCTTAATGTCTCCCCTACAGAGGTCATGATGAAGATATTTACACATCCCTAAAAGGACAAAAATTACCATTCATCACTCATCTACATCATCAGTTACAACCATCATGACCATTCAGACTGTTTTAGCTTTTCATGAATCTATGATGAAATTACCTGGCTGTCTCCATAAAGAATAATGCATTCATCTTGTCCTGTTGAACTACATGTAGAGAAAGAGAAAAACTGATCATAAAAACTATTCTACACAGCTTTTCTAACCTTGCACATACGTTTAATACTCTACTGCATGTACTATAGCAACTGACTAAATTGTTCTATTTTTGTCTTCAAGAGGAACAAAATCATAGTTACATGTATCAAATTATTATGAGCCCATGGAACATGTTTTTTTTTTAAATTCTATGGGCAAGCAGAAGCAAGTGTGAGGCATGTGTGTGAAAAAATATCAGAAGCAAAACAAGTCTTTGCTTGCCATTCATGCTCCCCACACACTCACTTTGCAGTTGCTTCCCTTTGCTTAAAAGAGGCAAAATATGCCCTGTTCAGAATGCTTTATAACTGAAAGCTAATTGTTAAAAGAATGGGACAGCTCTCCTTTGATATGCCCAGCAGTCTAATGGTAATACAAGATACCAAAACAGGTGACGATGAAAGAAGTTCTACCACTCTAACTTGTTCTTACTTACCAATAATCAAGTCTAAGAGGAGTAGTCTCCAGACCAGTGATTTGACAATAAGGCTCAAATGTTGATAATTCAAAAAACTGAATTTCCCTATCCCTACAAGGACAGAATTATGTCACTCAAAAGCTATTCTCAAAAAAACATACATGTAATTACATAGTGCCATTTTGTTAAAATTTTGAAAATTCCAAGGAAAAAACATTCCTTGCTTGCAAATACAGAGTCCTCAGTTCAGATTCAGAGAAAAATCAGTCTCATATAAAAATTTGAATAAATACAGTCTGAAGGTATAACTATGTACATTTATGTTCCTTTACATTTCTTTCATAAAACAAAATAAACAAAACAAAACTTACCCTGTTGAAATAATAAATTTGTTAAATTGAGGCATAAGAACAAAATCTGTAATCCACTTTGTCTTCTTTGTTGAGCTTTCAAACTAAAAATGGTCAGCACAAAATGGGATAAATTCACCTTAATAGAACTCTAACTTATTTTACAGCATGATATCAAATGTATTGAATAAAACAGCTTTACTAAAATGAATTGTACCATTAAGTTAGTTTAACTTAATCATCCTTCTTATAAACAATCTTTTTCATACTTCATCAGTCCTTAAAATACAACTTACACTAACCAATGGCACACTGGAATACACTAGAGTTTATTAGCCAGATGCCTAACTGTGCCAATCACCCTATTTACCCCACCTGCTTCATCCCCATGGAAAACATTTTTTTTAGAATTAAAGATTTGGAAAAAAAAACCTCAAATGAGAATTAATACAAGAAGAAATATAGCTGTTTTGCATACATTATTTGTCATGATCAGTATTTTTCCCTCTTCACTTAAAATGTAAAACCTAGCCTGGATACTTCTCAGAGTCTGCAGTAATGAGAGGTTCCTTGAACCACAGACCCTAGACAACATGGTACAAGGAGTACTCACATGAACTGCATGTTTCATTCTTTTAAATTCCAAATTTTGAGACCAAAATGAAACAAGGCCATCCTGTAAAGACAAAACAAGACAATTTCATTACATTACTGTACTTCAAAACCACTACTTGCAGTTAAATAATTAAGTGAGAAAGTACTCAGAGATCAAAATTACTTACAATAAAAGCAAATAATGTATATGATAACAACCAAGACTCAATAAATTCTCCTTGGATTAAATGGCATGTCTTATTCAATGAGTTTTGTAAAACCAAATCATGAGCTTCTTTAACTAGTTGGTGATCGTTTCCTTTATTCCCAAGACCTACTGCAATGTTTGATTCAGGGTGATATTGTGTGAAGAAATAAGATGCAAGTCACTCTCAGGGTTTGAAAGAAAATATCACAATGAGCAAATGAAAAATTAAGAAAATCAAGCAAATCATCTTAAGTGCAAGAATACATGAGCAACCAAGTGGTCAGAAAGAATAAGTATCCAGAGTTTTCCAGGGCAATCAAAGCTACTGGACAAAGAAAAGCAAAATCAATTGCAATCCTTCATCTCCACACTCAATGTAAAAATTGCTCTATTTGACTCGAAGTTCAACCTTTTTTTGTATAGGTTAGGAATCCTTTATTAAATGTTACATCCTGTCTATAAATATTCCACAAGTTCAACTGGAACAACAAGGAAGTTGTTGTCTGTTAGTATCATCTCTTATCACATGTTCTCTCTGAGGGAAACTCGTACAAGCGCCCAACGAAACAAAGTTAACGGCATGGTAAAAATTGCAAAAGCAGGTATCACCGTGAACTCTTAGAGGAGACTGTGGGTTCACCTAACAAATTTTGGTTGGTCATTAAAAAACTATACCCTACAAAGTCTACAAAGGAACCAGGAGCAGCTTTTCTCGTTAATGAAGCAGTAGAAACCGACAAAGAGGTTATTGCAAATTTGTTCTGCAAATTCTTCACTGATGTTGCGCGATCTCTAAAAAGAAAGATCTTCCCTCTTTGCAATTTTGTCTGGAAAAGGCCCCTTACAATAGACACCCAGCAGCCGCTAGAGAACTTTGAGTTTAGATCAGTCTCGGAAAAGGTTGTCTTTAATGCATTAAAGAGCCTTAAGAGAAATAAGTCCTCTGGCCTTGACAACTTTCCTTCTGGAATGTTAAAGGACTCTGCTGATATAATAGCCAAGCCTCTCACGCATATAATTAACTTTTGTCTGGTTCGCAACAGGGTCTGTACCTACTGACTGGAAAGCGGCTGGAAAAATTGTACCACTTTTTAATTCTGGAACAGAATAAAGTTCAATCTTACCGATGAAATGAGAATGGTAACCTGAAGGCTGTGGATCTATCCAAGGCGTTTGACAAACAATTATAAATAGGCGTGCTATCAGAACCTCAACCAACCCATTGCTAACAACAAGGAAGTTGTTGTCTGCTGTATGGCACAGTCTTATCACATGTTCTCTCTGAGAGGAATTGGAGTTTTCACTCATAGCAATAATTGCAGGGAGAGTAAAGGCAGTCTGTAAAAAAACAGGTCATAAAATTAATATATATGAAATATAAATACATGATTGTGTAACGCTTCTGAAGTGACAAACATTTAACAGGCAGACAATTTGAACTCCACTTTAAAAGTACCCTTCCACAAAATTCCATGAAATTTGCGGAATAATTATGAATGCTATTAATAATAATTATTAACAGACCTCTTTAGATCGCAAGTATGAATCCTCTTTTTCAGCATATTCAAGTTGCATGAAAGTGCAAAATTCATCCTGATAGAGAAAGAAAGTAATATATAATCAAGTTAGAAAGAAAGAAGTGTCCAAGCACCAAATGCACAATGTGTGATGCTGCTACTGATTTTAGTAATGAATTGCTTTGTATCCTCAACCCTTTAACTTCCATAAGTGATTTAAACATAAAGATGTAACTTCTCACTAAATGTAAATGATCCATGTGTTATCCTGCCAACAGGCAATGACAAAGACTACTCAAAGTTATCTAGTAGAAGTTACTATCTTGAGCTGATCTAACACCAAATTCTCCAAACTAATTTACAAGGAAGTGTGTAGAGGGGAGAATTAACAATCAAATCTAATGGGAGTTAAAGGGTTAATTAAACAAAAACCCTGCTTACCAACACCTCTCACAGAAATAAGAAAATTCCACACAAAAATTCAATTGGTGATATTGGAGAATCAAGGTGGCACAAAATAAGTCTCACTGTTTTTTTCCAATCTTTTGTTTTTTACAACTTTTATAGTTACTATCAGTAAGAGCTTGCAGTTGTTCCCTTGTTCTTGGACATTAATTTACATGCACATGACATATCTGTAGAAAGATTTGTGTCATGCACACACACACACTCACACACATAAAACCTTGTTGATACAATTTCTCAGTCCCTTACGCATGGTTCACTAGTCATATGCAAATGCAATTATATGCAAGGAAAAATTACACATGTGAACTACCCTGAGGCAAATAAAAATGCAAACATGAGATCCAACACAAGATATGAAAAAAAAATTATTTTCTTGCACTTGCATTTGCTTCCCACATGTTTGAACCAGGGCAGAACAAACACAACACGAAAAACACAGGTTCCTACTTTACAATAAATGTTGTCCCAAATTTCAAGCCATTTAAAGAATAGTCTTGTTTGGAAAGATGTGACCAGAGAGGTGGGCCTATGTTTTATGAAGAAAGGTACATAAAAATGGCTTTCCACCAATTCAGCAAACAGTAAGAGCATGCATTATCTCCTCAGAGCTCTGTGAACAAAACTAGAAACTTGATCATTGTCAGCCACTGCTATTGCATATCCCACTTTCCTTCCTTTTTGCTTGGAAGTGTGAACATAGCTTGTACTTGTATGCATGTGAAACTCACAAAAGATGTTACGTCTTTGTTATTAGGCAAATTCTATGCCATAAAATAAAAAGCGTTAAATAAGTGAAAAACATTGTCTTCTATCTGAAGTTTTCAAATTCAAGTTGGCAAGATGGTTACTCAGACAAGATTATTAAATTTGTCACAAGCTTTGTATCTGTCCACACTATGAATCACATTTTAAAAAATTATGTACAGCTGTTTCTCTCTTAGTTTGTAACTAGCAGATCACACTCGTAATTTTAAATGTTTCTTGCAGTGAGAAAACAAGACAAAAAATGTTCACTCCTCATAAAATGGACACTTGATAATGCAGCCCTCCCACAAGATGAATATAATTTTGTTTCTCCAGGACATCATTGTCTTTATCACATCATTCTCGCCATTTTTTCAACCCTTTTTATTTCCTTTGAAAAGTTCAGAGGTATCCATGACCTAGAGTCAAAAATTAAAGCTGTACATTGACATTCCAAGTTTCATTTTTCTTCTTTTGAGTTGTAAGAATTTTGATAAAGGAAATACAAAAAAAAAAGAAATAAAACATATATTAAACAGCAAAAACAGATGTACATTATGCCTTTTGCTATTTATCCAAAACATTAAGCACCAGATACATGAAAACAGTTCATGATACAAAAAAAATTAATAATTTTTTAAACAGGGAAAAGATATAATGCTGAAAATCTTTTACCTGCAAGTTGTAATCATTGTCAAAACTAAACTCATCACCCTCCATGAATATACATTTCTCCTAAATCTTCCAGAATGGATTTTAAAAATGCAGTTTTCAGTGTTTAAATTTACATAACTGTGACGACTGGACAATATATTTTTTTTGCAATAACATTGGTGTTGGAAAAATTGGCAGATAGCAAAATATCACACATTTATTCATTAATTTAAAGGCAGGCAGACATGTAAATGAAAAAATATGTCACTCCTTTTAATTTGACACAATTGTTAGAAACACCAGTAATTAAAGCTAGAACAAATATTACATGTTACCTTTCCAAATTAACCAAGCAAATCAATTACAAGGGAGTACACAAACTCACCCAATTTATTTCACCATCAGATGAAGAATCTATTTTCATGAATAGAGCTGTAACCTGGTCTTCATTCTGTGTCCATGAAATTGGGAAAAAAAAGGGATGAAAACAAAAAAGAAAACATTATATTACAAGTATTAATCATAACAGCTTAAACACATAGCTCAAAAAATAAATTAAATTTGTTGTGTATACTAAGAACAATCTGTATCTCACTTAAGTTGGACAGCTTGTCTAGTTAAAGGGATACTAAAAAAAACTCAGCCCCAGTTTGAATTAATAAAGGTGTATTTCCATTTTAGCTTGATTTAAAATTATACAGTATTGCTCACTCAAGTAAGTTGACAGTCTTGACCTGAAACTCGATTATCAATCCTCAAAGGTTTCGAGCATCAAGGATCGAGAATTGAGGTTTGAGGCTCAATCTATTAACTAAAGGTATCAAGGCTTAAGAATTGAGGATCTAGACCCTCCTAGGACTATAGGAGAATCTTGATCTGCTGTTTGAAGGAAACAATTTAATTCTCACATTCTGTTAATTGATCTATAGTCCTTGTATGCACAAATATAATTCTGAGCCATTAAATGAAGTTTTACCATAACTTTATCATGTACTTTGAAGTATGGCAGGTATGACAGCGACTAACCTTGAATTGAAAATGAAACAAGTTTGTGATGACATCTTTGAACTCCTCTAAATCCAATGTTCCATTACCATCGGAGTCAGCTTCCTGTGAAGGAAATATTCACATTAGACAAAAATTTGTTTTGATAACAAAGTTAACACAGTATTAAATTTAAAGTCAATATTTCATCATCTAATCAGAAAGTACTTTAATTGGACTAATGAAAGTAGGGCACACAAAGACGAAACCAAGCAAAGAGACTGCAAATCTCACCTCAAAAGCTTGTCTCATCTTATTCAAATGGTCCAAAGTAATTCGGTCCTCAAGCTTGACAATAAGCAAATAAAAAAAATTCAGGTCTGTTATGAAATAAATGCTGTCAACTTTTAAAAATGAGACTTATTAACTAACTTCATTTTAAATTAACTATTTCAAAGATAGCACAGTAGAGTGTTTAAGGTCCAAAGAACTTTATATTATAACTTCTTTCTTGTTACCATGTACAACTACAAAAAACAACTGAAGGCAAAAGTGCAAAGTACAGGTTACACAGCAAATGTTTTATTAAACCCAAACTTAATAGGATCTCTATGGGTACACAATGCTCCAATCTAGCAGTCAGCCTAACATGAGATCCCAACAGTTTGCTGTCTGAACCTCACATACACAGATGCAGCTTTAAGTTGTTTATATCCTTGATATCAAGTCATCCAGATTGATTCATATCTGAGTTGCAATGTTCTTCTTCAAATACACCAGCAGAAGCTACTCATTTTTGAAGCACCAGCTAGTTAATTAGATAAAGCAGTGAAATGCAGAACTTACATTGAAATACACCATAACCTTTGCCTGGAAGTGTTTTTTTAAATTATTTTATTTTATTTTATTTATTTTTTTATCCCTTTACACCCTAACATCATGTAACGTCATCACATCTGACCTGTGTGTGTTTCAACATTTACAAAACACTTTGTTGGAAACTGTAGTTCTGAAATAGTGATGCTAAATATAGTTTGACATATAAAAATAATTGGCCTTTATGGGTCTACCATATCCTTAAATTTCAATCTAGCCCAGGAATAAGATATTATTATAACAGCTAGACTTTTCTCACTTAATAACATACTTGAGATTATATAACATTCCTATTTGGTCATTGCTGACAGTATAAATATATGTAGGTTAAGGAGTGGAATCCATGATTTTCTCTTGCCACTCTCCAAAAAGTTAAGCTTTTTAAGAAAATCAAGAAAAAATTAATTTCTCCAATGTTTTGTTTGAGAGGGAAAATTTCCTTGAACTGCATACACATACATTTAGTGATTTTTTTGCAGACTCTTATAATGTTTTGAAAGATTCTTAATTTGCACTTAGTTGCAGAATATGCAATCACAGAAACTTTTAAAACATCACTCATACCCATACTCCCAAAATTCTTGTTCATCTAGTCTTGTTCATGTAGTTTCCCATTACTTGTTAGACAAGTTACAGATATTATGGTATAACAGTTGGTGAGGCACGGGTTTGAATCCTGCTCAACATCAATGTCTTGCATTTCTTTGACAAAGCACTCTACCCCTACAGTGTTCATTACCTGATCCTTTGCTCTAACCTGGGCCTAGTTATTCAAAAGGCAGATAAGAAAACATATTGCACTATCCACCTGGATCCAGTTGTTCAAAAGGCAGATATTAAGCTACCCAACAGATAGAGGGTTATCCTGGGCTGATAAGTGTTGACAAAGTGTAATGCACTATCCAGCAAGTTATCCAGAGGACAGTGCACATGTAATAATCACCCTTTGAACAACTGGTGCCAGATATTGATTTATCCAGCAGATGGCAACCGAGATCAGGAGTGTAAATGGGCACTATAATTTTCTCAGGAGGAAGTTGAGGTGGGGTCAGAACCTGTAAAGGACTGGCCAATAATTTCAAGGAAATTTTCAATACTCCTTGCTGTTTTTATTCCATAGGAAAGAGGAGAAGCTCCAACAGCTTCGCAAATCAGCCTCACAAGCAGAATTAAAATTTGACCACACGGAACTAGTGCTCATTAACGAAATCGGCACCTGCTTATTAATATGGTGAGACAGGGACAATCAATTATTTACATGGATCTCTGTTATTTAAAAACATATTGTGCAATTATAAAACAGTGCACCAAGATCGCGATTAAACAGCCACAACTAACACTTCAATAAATTTGCTATAAACTTAGAAATGGAAAATGCTCAAGTACTCAAATACACTTAGAGGCACATGCACCAAAAGCATAAATGAGTGTTTACCTCGTTGAATTTTAAGCATTGAAATCAAATGTGCAAAATAAGCCACAACGACGAGTAAGTTGTAATTAATAGAACTGAGAACGTCAATTATTTAAGCAATCACAAACAATTACCTCAACTCAACTTATAAATGCCGAAATGTTCCAGTTTGCACTGTATTTTCCTGCGCGGAAGGGTCAAATTTCACAAGCGAACAATTCAACATTCAGCCTCTGAGCTATAAATTTAAATAATTTACCTTAATCTGTTTAGAAACTCCGATGGCAGTAGTCGGTCTCTTGGGTTTTTCGTGCTCTTCCACATCCTCTAAGCCACCCAAAGTAGCCCTTCTCCCTTGCAATCCTTTGAAATCATTCTCGGGAATACCACCAAAAACTTGCCTTCCTTTGAACTTCGAAGTAATTGGAACACCAGGAACATGATGTCTCGATGTAACATATGTAGGATCGAGACCTAGTAAGTTTTTTCCCGGAGCAGTAGAAGGTCTTAGCTCGTCCAGTAAATCAACAAATTCATGAGATTCCAGTGCCCCCGAAGCCGTGGAAGGGCGAACTTTCTTTTGCGATTTTCCAGACGGCATTTTGAAACCTTCCACCGTTCGAAGTATTTTGCTACTCGCACGAGCGAAAAACCGATCGTTAATTGGCTCGTTGGTTGCTAAGAACCCTTGGCAACCAGTTTTGTTCTGTCAACTATGATAATTTCGACTTAATTCCACTTAGAACAATTTTCTCACATCCTTCAGAACCCCATTCGATCAGAGATATTTAGAACAACGGTAAAAACATGCAGCAGTGATTCAGACTTTTGCAATCTGCCTTAGTCTCATGCACAATAAAGCGAAAATTTGATGTGAATAGATGATTTCTATTTTTTCCGCTGGATCAATTTTTAATCCTTTAAAACACGAGGACACGTTCTCTTGTTTAAAGGGATTAGAAGAAAAGAATCGAAACCAGGGGCCAGTTTTTGCATCTCGGCGTATGTCAAAAATGTATTTGTAACTCTTAAGGTCATAGAAAGGAAACCTAGATGGGGTTTTTTTTTTTTTAGCTTTTGACGTAATATTAATCATGTTTTTGCTAAGGCGATAGCAAGTGTCAGAATTTTACTTAAGAACAGTGTCATTGTATTTTTTGGCATTGTAAACTGAACGAAAAATTGTTATTTTAAAAAAATGACACTAAAAAACTTAAAGAAAGTGCAAGCTAAAATGATTAGATCTAGCAAATTGAACACAAATGCAAAAGTAAACTAAACACATTCGAAACTTGGCGTGTCCCCGTGTTTCGCAAGAATAATACATGAGCGCGCGTACAAAGAGAACTTCTCTTCAAGTGTTTAATTCGATAGCTCAGGAGTGGGCGCAGCGAGCGAGTGAGATATCGAGTTGAACACGATAAGAGAAATTTCACATCTACAAAAAACCATGTACTATTTTGTTTATCATATAAATACAATAGTCCTTTACTGACAATAAAAGTCGACATTATTAGTAAATGAAAATAAAAGGATCGACAATCCCCGAATAAAAATCGTGAAGTGCGTTGGCGTTAAGGCTCAAGATGGAAACATGCTTTGAATCACCACAAAAACAAACAATGGGCCTAATTTTCAACATTCAAAAGTCTCAGTTATTGACTTGGTCCTGACCGACAGAAATCTTTCAGGTAAACAGCCAAAAGCAGCTTGTGACATATTTTCCAGTTGTCGATTTTCGTTCTCAGCGGCGAGAAATGCCATTACCTAAGCCACTGAATACGTAACTTTCGGTTTTTCTGATCGTATTTTGGTTTTCTTCCTCTGCTAGGAGAGTTTGAACGTCACTGTCTGTAAGCGATACGGACTTTTCTGTGTTTTCGCAACCATAATCCGAAAAAATTCCGACAAACGACCTTAGATTGAGAATGGTGAAGGCTTTGTCGTTCATTCATCAACTTGATCACGTGAAGAAATATTGTATTTTTTCACATGTGTTGTTATGGCTTTTCTCAGGACTGGAAATCCTTGTATAACACCGTTGTTTATATAATTAAAATCCTTTATTCAACGCAATGGTGATTATAGCTCAGCAGCTTGTGGATTCCTGTACTGGATAAACATTAATTATAAAAATGATACTTCAAAACCTACATATGTAGACAAACGTAAAAATGTTGCAGTTTATTCGGTTCATCTAGGTCTCCTCTAGTTATGGTGAAGATATAAAAAAGTCACTGAAAATGCATATAGATCGTTAACCGCCGTTACTCTAATTCGCCCCCTCACGAGGATTCAAATGATGACATTCGGCTCATGAAAAGTTCAGAGTTAGAATTAAGCATGAACGTTCATAAAAAAGAGTATATAGGATGTATTGGTCGTGTCTTATCAGCTTACACTTTGGGGGAAGGAGTGAATTGCTTTAAATTTCTAAACGACAGGTAACATTTTCGTAATAGCTTCGATTTTCTTACTGAAATACCATCTCGAAAGAAATAAGAAGAAACTTTACGGGGAAGATAATTTTTCAGAGGTGATTAGCATTAAAAGACCGTTCAACATTTATCTCGGGGGGGGGAGGGGAGGTCGTAGAAGTTTTGTTTTGTCGCGATAAATTTTCCCTTGCCCCCCATTTCCCCACTCCCCCCCCCCCCCCCGCCCATAATATTTCTGTGATCTTTAACTATACTCTGTTAGAGACGACTGATCTCCCCGCCGTTCCGCCTGAAAACCGTGTGACCTCCCTCTAAAAATAAAATACCCCACTCCCCTCCCCTTGGGCGATATATTGTGAGTGGTCCCTCACTAACATTACAATTTTAATGCCAAACGGACACTATAGACACATCCAAAGATCCCCTTCATCCTTCTTGTCTCCTCTTTTCAGTACTATTAGTTGAATTCAACCTCTTTTTTTTTTAAAGGCTTCTTGTGGTAAAAGGTGTGAGAGGCAGGAATTTCCAGTCCAATGCTCTTTTTTCTCCGTTTGCCAGTGACTTCCATTGAAATTTTTCCTACGTGCTTTAAAAACAAGGTGTTGTAGCTATATACAGACCTGTACAGTGTAACTTCATGAAGAAATCAAAAGCACAAATGTATTTACAGTAATTGTTGCGATCCCAAAATGCTGGGTAGCGCGACGTCACACCACAAAAAAAAAGAGGAAAAAAATTAAAATCTATGTACCATTCCTCGATATAACGAACATTTTGGTTGTTTTCCCGCAAATTCGTTAAATCAAGATTTTCGTCATAGCGAACCCTCGCTATAACGAACCAATTCCCCCAGTCCCTTGTAATTGGCTTTTCGTTAAAATCGAGATTGCACTATACCCGCCAACAAGTTTGCATCGTGGGGCTGGAAAATGGAACGAAGTGAAGATTCAAAGCACACGGGAAAGTGATGATGAAGAAAATAAGAAGAGAGTTTTCAAAATCTAAATTTAAAAAATGAATCAACATTTTCTTGATATATGTCTAAATGTTGGATTTTCGTTTAGACTGCAGGAGTCTATTAGATTGAAGCTGACGTTTTGATTGATTGGAGACTACGAATAGTTAGAGGCGCGGTCGGTTAATTCTAATCAGTTTATCTTTACAGACATTGGATAAAGAAAAACTTTTGAAATCGCCCTGATCGAACCCGTGAGGATGAATAGAAAGACACGAATTATGTTCATTCGTATTATTTTTGGGTCGGTAACAAATCACTTCATCACTCAAAATACCAACTGTTGTTGGTGCAGTTGTTTGTTAACTGTTTGCACGTTTTCTTCTACTTTCGCTTCGTCCTCAGCGCAGCTTAAAACTCGCCGGTTTAGACACTAAACATTTCAATGGTATATCCTATTAAAGACGAAAAAGTTCTAAAAACCGTATCGACTGTCTGGCGAAACTTCTTTGTTTAGACCGACTTAAAGGGGGTAGAAAGTTTTTTTTCATAATCGTATCTCGGTTTTTTTATTTCTGCAGAAAAGTAATCCGATTTTGTAAACTACAAATATTAGCAGCCTTAGACAAAGACTTCATCCCAGTGTCACAGCGTATTCGGTAAACGGAGTCACTCGATCAAAATCACATTATAGAAAGCTTACAACGATTCCAACTAAATTCAATTGTGCCAGCCATTGCTTAGGACAAAACCGTCTCCAGCCCATTTCTTGTAATGGGATTAGTATAATCAGTTTTGTGTCTGTCGCTGAGTCAGGGTGTCTAAGTTTGCGCAAATCACTTTATCATCGACCAGACAAACTCTAAATGTCTTTATTCGAGGTATTCATGCAAATCTATTTTGAATCAGATAAGGGTCCCGTTAGTCTTGAAACAGGTATTTATATCTTTTAGAGGTTGTGTTCTATATTTTGGTGTAATACTTTATCAGTTTAAATAACATTACCGGGTTTAGCTCTACTAGGCATTCAATTCGACCAACGATCTCCTCCGGCTGGAATTGACACACGGTTGAGTTAACGGTTCGTATAGTCTTTCAGTGCATGGTATTTTAAAATTAAAGAGATTGGTTTCTTATTTTTTTAATTTCTGATAACATAACATAGCAACTGGGGTGGAGGGTTTTAATTCTTATTTTTCCTAACTTCAGAAAATTCTTGAATAATAAAAATTGTTACCAAGGTGACTTATACATTCCTGACCCATCCGATTAGAGGAAACTTGCCCTGAATCAGTTCCGACAAACACTTTATCTTTGTTGTTTTGTTGCTAAGACTTTCTCAACGAAATTTATATGAGATCGATGCCCGTTTCCTTTAATTGAATCGGTCACTTTTCGGCAACTGTTCCAATCCCGCAACTTATCGCTATGTTTCATTCCATCCCGCCGCAATGAACATTTTCATCCCGATCCCGCTTGGTCAAACCAGAGTTGCTCCAGTTCACCGCCTTATTCAAACTGATGGACAAATTACAGCCTTTGCAATATTGATAATGTACTTCAATTAAGGAGAAGGGAAAAAACTTGCTCAAGCAGGACCATTTTTTGAAAAAACGTGGGGGGGCTTAAGCCCCCCCCCCCTCCCCTACCTCCGCGCGGGGTCCCTGTTCCTCCCGTAACTTCGATAACGGAAAAATTAAAGAAACGAATAACAATGTTAACAAGTGCATAGGACAACAAAAAGAGATCGAAGTACAACGTTCCACATCCAGGGAAATAGATAAAAACTAACGGAACACATTTCTTCTGTTGAGGTGAATACTTCTTCCGAAGCGGGAAACTCTTCCGAGGAGAAAATCAGCATCATCATTACATGCGGTCTCGTCGTCTGGAAATGACTTATTCAATTCTTTATCACTACTTTGGGCTTCCTCTTCATTTTGTTGCCCGCTGTCTTTTTGCTGCTCCTCGTAGTCAGAGCGTTCGAGGCTGACCGGTCCACTCGGCTGAATTTCTCTCTGATAGAGGTAAATTGGTCGGTCACTAAGCAATCAAAGGTCACTGGCGCAGGCGCAGATAGGACAGTCATAACAAACCTTTGTGCGGCTTTTTTAGTCTCCTACGCTTGCGTTTTTAGGGGATCGCATATGTGACTTTCGCGTTTTGGGGAGACGTGAAACGCGATCTCGTAAAAGACGTACAGCGGTGTGGAAGGCTGGACTTTTTGGACTTTCACGAAGATCAACTTCTCTATAGTTTCCCCGTCAACGGACTTCCCGCTTCTCGGTTCGTATAAGCGATTAGTTTTTTTTAGAGAGCACGGTGACGAATCCTGCAATCTGATTGGTTCTTTACCCGGTCATTATTTTCCTATCTCTGCCCACGGGCCACGGTAACGCTTTTGTGAATCGCCGAGTACATCCCAACTTTCGTTGCCATTTTTCATAAATATATCTCGTTTTTCCGGCTGGGCAGTATTTTTAATCAAACACGTCGGTCACTACCTCAAGTCGATAAATAACTTATGAATCCTCTCTGTTCTCTCTCTCTCAAATCACTTTGGTTGACAGAAAAATATTGGTTTCAGAATGAATTTGTATAAGTGTCATCACGTTGGTTGACAAGCGGCCTAAAAACCGTCTGCAATTAATTTTAATCGTTCACAGAAAGTACCTAGAAAGTTCAAACGTGAGGTGTTTGGTTACAGTTAAACTGAACGATGGAACTTTCATTCATTTAATATCTGAATTTTCTCAAACAATTTGTTTGTAGTGAAAGAGCGAGCGAAGTTTTAATTCAGTTCTACAACAAATATACTCTCTAAGTGAGTCTTTCCGAGTCCGTTCAATTTGGACATTTGTACCGTAAATTGCACAACAGCAAGCAATTTATTGAGAAAAGGCCACATTAAATCCCCTTGTGTCTCGTTGGAGTGTGCCATTCGAATTTAGTTTTTGTGGAGGAAAGACCAGATTTACACACGCCATTGCAGCAAACAAACAAGCAAACTCTCACAACTTCAAAATAACAAAATTTGAATTTACTCACAATTACTTTCCTCGCCGTTTACTTAATGAACAGAGGTAAATCTTCGTACATAAATGAATCGTCGAAGAGAGTGAATAATACTTTCCGTGAGATCATCGCCTGTTTTTGAAGAAAACATTGTCATGACAGTCCTTGCCAAACTAGTTCCGTTGTTTTTCAAATGTTCTTGCGCTTTATTTTTTCTTACGCGCTCTCTAAGTGACAGGTGTCAGATTGTGACAGATACTTGTAAAAATAATGTTTCAAAGTTTGTGTGGAAGCCTTTTAAATTACCTTTATCCTTGCAGAAATGAAAATGTTTGCATCACCTCTATTTTAACTACCATGTACTGGCTCAAAAATTGTTCAGTTTATGGAAGATCTTACCGTATTTACAGCCCTAAATCATTCGGGTTCTTTCGGAAAGAATTTCGTCAAGTTTAAAAAAAAAAAATATGTTATTTACCGGCTAAGGGTCGGTCCGAATGGTGAAAAACTGTGACCTCGGTCTTGAAAATGCTGCCCTCGGCCTACGGCCTCGGGCAGTATATTCAAGACCTCGATCACAGTTTTTCACCATACGGAAGGCAAATAACATAAACTTATTTCAAGAATCCCACCCCTCAAAATCGCCGATTCCCGTGCCCCTTTAATAATAACAATCCCGCATCTCGCTCCTTTCTTACTCTAAATTCCCAGAACCTGGTCATCAAATAAGCCCAATCCTGCATGCCGAAAACCTGTTTGGGACCCTCTTTATTGGCAGGCTTTGTAAGTGAGACACACAAACTTCACCTACGGAGGATTGAACTGAGTGGTCACTCTTTTACTAGGTTAGGTTACTAACCAAACCTAGCGATTATAACCTCTTGGTTACTAATTAATTTTTTATGAGACTAGCGATATCCCCTCCCCTGCCACTTGCAGATTATTTTAAATGATCGCGATTGCTGCTTTAGTGTAGCAGAGTAACGAAGACCCCCCTGCAACAAACAGGGGACCTTTTAAAATAAAAGGTATAATGAAAGATGACATCCTCCCTATCCTCTCCCCACCCTACTGTACCGTCATGAGGTTCCTCTACGAATAAAGGGGGTAAGTTTCTAAAGAAACTGTGGTGATGCGTCAGTGGGAGAGTATAACAGGGTAATTTATTATCATCAACTGAGTTTACAACTTAAATTGGTCATCGTAAAGAGTTTAAAAGCTGACGTTTCGAGCTTTAGCCCTTCGTCAGAGCGACTTGACGAAGGGCTAACGCTCGAAACGTCAGTTCTAAACTCTTTATGGTGGCCAATTTACGTTATCAACTCAGTTGAAAATACTAAAATTACCCTGTTCCTCTGCTTTCGCTCATCACAACAGTAATGATCTTTTCTGGCTGAATGAGTTACAAGTTCTATTTTGATCTCTTTCCCGTTTGCTGTTGTCCTTCCTTTGACAAAAATCTTTGCCATACTACCATACTATGATAACATACCACTGATGTAGAACTGCCATGGAAAGTTCTTTCGGATATGTTAGAAGACCTTTGAACTCATGCATAGACGTAGCACAGATAGGCATAAGGTTTCCGTATAGGATTATGTAGAGAAATGAGTGATTTGGTACACTTACAAGATGTGGCTGTGATTGCACCGTTATGATTTGGTAACTGGTACGTGGTAGGCACATAATTCGACAACAGGGAAATTATTAGTATTACTGGATTAGTTAAGTCTTCAAATTCCTGAAACTGCAACTCCAGGGACATGTTTATCCTAGCGATTCCTGTTGCAATTTAAACTCACAACCTTGACATAAATCTTGAGATTGTAAACTTAATAGGTGAATTGAAGTGCCTGGAAAAAAACGAGCAATCTGTTGTTTGCTTTAATGCGCAGGCGCCTTGCCGGAAGGGTGTTTTTCTTGAACACAGCTATTCATCGACTCTGCGATTGCGAGGACAGAATTTTTTCCTCTAATTATATTTAAGAATGCTTTTTTTCTTAATAATTTTTTCCACCCTTTTTTTTTCAAATTTTAAACAGCGCAAAAAAGGATTGAACTAACTAAATTATTCAAAAACAGAAAAGTGAGAAAGATAGGCTGCAGAGTTTGCTTATGAGATAGCTAACATTTCTTTCTCGTCAGTGGTTCTCGACAACAAGTTTTTATGCGCAGAACAGATTAAGCAGTGTTATCACCTTAAATCACCTTGTCTTTGAAGTTCCCGTTGCGGTTTATTCGCTTTTTTGGACTTCAATTCTGTAAAAGGTTGTCGTTGTTGTCTTGCAGAGGACGTATAAGGAATGTCCAATTTTAAAATGCACGTGCTAGCTATTGTTCTGTCCATTAAATCTTTTGTTTTTTCTACGTTCTATTTGCCATCCAAGTGTTTTGCCTGAGTTCCCTGATACCTCTCATTCCAACTCCGACTTTGGTAATCCAACCCTTGGGGTAATGTAACCTACTAAAAGGAATTTTTTTTTCTGGTCGGTAAAAAAGCAGACTCCAACGTCTCGAATTACCCTGGCGCTATCACTTGCTTTAAAGATGCCAGACCTGCCATTTTCCATAACTCTGGTTATAGGTTAACTCCCTTTACAAAAGGCCGTTCATGTTATATTCGAGATCCAAACTAACGGCACAGGTGTACATGCGCACGTGAACATGAGCAAAGGATTTGATCGCGCGTGTGCCTCAACGACCCCATCAGCTCAGTCTAACAAAAATCTAGACACATTTTTATCATTTTGTATCAATTTATTTCTTAATTCTTGTCTAAGACTAACACTACCGCGGTTTCTCTTCAAAATCCCCAATTTAGTAGTTAAAAGGATTTTCCCCTTTTCCCTGATTCAATAAATAACAATTACCTTTTAGTTGTACATTATATCCTTTTTCTCCAAAAGTATCTTAATTTAGTCTTGCCCAACTATCAGGGCTCTCTATTTGTTATACAAAACTTAATGCTACAAATATATGGTATCGATGCATTTTCAATATTAAACTAATGTCTAATGCATTAATATAAGTATTTTTTGTTACCTTATGTTATGTTTGTTATAATGAAGGAATGTCCGGTACCACTCTCCATATTTTTTAAAAGTAATATCAATTTTTTTTCCCTAAAAAAAGTAGCGTTGGGAGCAGTTCTTAACGTACGCTTCTCAACAAAAACAGTAAGTCATCTAAGTCAAACGCAACAACGTCTTTGCTTAAAAAAATAACACAACTTAAACTTAATATACTCGACTGAAATTCGACGAGAAGATTCTACTGTTAAAATGGTTCAATGCGTATTTGCCGATCATAGTTTTAATACATAACAATCCGCACAAACGACCCATGCGCATTGCGCTCAATTGTTAGTTTTTAAAAAATGAACTACTTTTCTCTTTTTTTTTTTTTCATTTTTAAAATGAATTTCTAAGCATCAATAAAATTATATATAATTTTATGTTGTTGGAACGAACTATTTAACGTAGAGTGTATGTTACTAACAAAAAGTGGTCTCGTGATCATGAGAAAACTTTTGAGCATAAAAAAAAGAAAAACACAACAAGGAGCAAAACATACCTTTGCCGAGATCAACAGAAAAACAAACACAAGAAACGACAAAAATCTAAACTAATGAGGCATTTACAAAAAGCTCAAAGCTAAAAAACCCAAAGCTTCTGCTTCAAAACGACGGTAAACACACAGCTTTTGATATGAAAATGATTGGCATTCTCGACCTTATCTGGAAAGTGAGTGTTTTTGGAGGTCAGGTATGGCCTATCAAACACGCAACGCGAGGATTAAATTAATCAACGATTGTTTGCCATCTTATACCTTCGTACAATCTGAGAAGGCATTCATACTATCATTTAAATTCATCCGATTTTCACGATTGTTCTTCACTAGTAGGACTATGAACAATATTTACACAAAACCTTGACAAGGATCCCTATAAATACGCTGATTTGTTTGAAATTTGTTCTCTGCCGGCATTTCCGTTAACATCCAGTCTCCGTAATACTTTTTCTCCGGGGCTCGAAATTCCAGGCATCCATTCAAGGGATACCTGTCATTTCTGAGGCATTCGGGACAGTCACAATCCACGTCTTCACGAACTAGCACCCTTTCCACGCCGCTTATAGCCTTAACAGGCGAGAATTCGCTAGCAGAATTACTTCCTGTGGCCGAGTCTAGTTCGGAAATTTCGCCACAGGTACATCTTGGTACATGATCTGCATCACAAAGGAATTCTGTCCTTCGCGTCCTTTTTCTGTGTGACGATCTCCTTCTATCGCCTTTTTTAGTTCTTTGATTTCGATAAGTTTTTGAAGGTTGGTTGCTGAAAGTTTCGTCTTCAAGAGGAGACGACGTCCCCGTTGATCTAAGCGTGGACTCTGACGTACTTGAGCTTCCGCTGGACGATGAAGGAATATTTTTGTGGTGTTGGCGCAATTTTGTGAAGACAATGAACAGAAGAACCGCAATAACCAACACAGCAAACACGAAGACCGCAAGAAATGTTACTGCAGCCGTTCCCAAAGTCCTTCTGCGAATCACCTCGACTGGTTCGTCATCGGCTACGAGGATGTGAAAAATAGAATTGAAGTCACTTAAAACGAAATTAAGTCAAATCAAATGAACAGCACACATATATTAATGCAACTTAACTATACAAGCAACATCTCGATTTTAAGGGTTTGTCTCGTGTAACTGTAAGTCTATCTTCTATACTTTGTTCCATAGTCGGTTCATTTCACGATGAGCTGAATAGTCTAAAGTGGTTGGGATGATGACGAGTTAAAATTTCTCGATCGTACGGTATGTGGTCGTTCCGCTCAATAATGTTTTGGTCTGTCTCAAATACGACTTAACTGTGCAACCAGCAGGAATTTTCACCATGAAAGAAAGTCTTTTTACAAGTTTAAAATGGAAATGTTTCTCTTTTACGTTAAACTGACCATAAAACGAAGTAACTGTGAATCACAACTGAATTTCTAACATTTGGCAGGACTGCACAAAGCATTTGAGTAACACAGCACACCCCACTTACTTTCCGTGCTGTAAGAAGCGGTAAATCCTCTTCGTGTGCCGTTGGTCCATCTCCCATTGTGTTTGTAAAATAAGTACATGCTGTTCCCAGTTGAGACTATTTCCTCTTTGAAAGAATCATCATTTATAATGACCAGTTGTGGCGCACTGCGATCTTTTCCGTCACGAATTATAATGGAATCTCCATTCATTTTTAAGGCATCAAACCATAGACGCACCCTTTTCCCTTCTGCTAAGGTTATAACCCACGTACAGCTAGGATTTCCAGGGCGGGTGAACAACTGCGGTGATGATGTAATCATTCCTTGAGGTTCTGTTAGCCGGCATCCACATGAACAAGAGGTTCCCGACTCTGTTTATAAAAGTAATTTTTTAAAGCACTGAGTTCCCAAGTTCGAAGAACAAGCATGCAAGAATTTTAGTAATGGTTCACTTTGCTCCGGATTTGTTGTAGGGAACGACTCGTATTCGCTTTGAGAGCGAGTACCTTTAAGCGGGAAACAACATAGTTCGAGTTTGGCAGGAAAAAGAAATAGAGGGGCAAACGAGTTGCGCTAAGGCGGGAGAATTTCATTGAATGCATCCTATAAAGTGCTATTTAATCGAAATTACCTACTGTTTACGATGACGAGAGTAAAATAATATTACACCCACAGTAACACTGTTTCATAACATCAAAAGCTACTGTAACATACACTGGTACACATTGCTGAAGGCAGTGCGGAAGCAAAATTAGTAAGAAAGAGGGCCTTTCTCGTCATGAACACATAGTTAAGAAAAGCGAAGGATTTCAACCCAAGAACACCAGCGTATGCTGATTTTGATGTTAAGGAAGAGGGTTATGTTGAAGAGTATTTTAGTTGCACTATGTGTTGATAGGCTGAGTTCAACTCCAAAGTATGCCTCTCCACAACACTGCTAAATAGACAGGTCTCGGTAGTGCGCAAAGTAACCTTGATTGCTCAAATTTGTTGTTGTTCTCGGCACAAACTGCGCGTGCTGTCCTTCAACCCGTGGCAATTTGCACTCTCTGCGCATTTGTATACAAAGATGCGATACTTAGTCCTAGCGTCAGTTCGTGCACGAACATTAAAATATGTGCTGTTGTACGCGAGGTATTCTACACAGTGGCCTTTTTTTGAGGCTCAGACAAGTGGCAAGCACAGGTGCATTATCGGCCTGACATCATTTATGGAAACGGAACGACATCACTGATGCGCTCTGATCTTACTTTTCGTACAATCTATATATTAATTTTGTAGTAATAATAACAGAAAACCCTGTCCACAGCTTATACATGTATTTCCACTTCAGATGAAAAAAAATAGCTAAAAGCAGACACAAGGTGTCCAATTTCAGCCGTTTGCCGTTTTCTATAAAAGTTATGCTTAACTTTATCATTTCCATACCTGGACATGGATTAAGCGCGCAAGACCTGGATATGAGAGCACTTCCATCGCATGTCGATTCCTTTTCCTTGGATGTGCTGACACTCAGACAGTATCGTGAGCGGTGCTGCTTCCCCTGCCCACAAGAGCTAGAACACAAGCCCCAAGAGGACCACGTACTCCACCCCTCATAATATGCTTTGCCTATCAGAACACAAAAAAAAAGAGACATTGACATGCGCAGTGAAGGATCTGTGTCGTCTTTAAAAAAGTCAAGAGGAACAAAGCAAAGAAACGGTTTAAGCATCCAATTTTTAATTTCATCAATCAAAGTCCTTTTCAGTCCCCGTTGATCTTAGCCATCTTCAGGTTTTCTCCCATATTTTTAGTTTATTATCACCATTTTATGTTTTAGTATTCAAGGCTAAAAAGATAAGTCCACAATCTCATATCTGGCTCCTTCGAATTACAAATCTTTCTATTACTATTCGAGCTTGGCAGTTTTTAACAAAGTCGATGATGTCTTTTATTTTGCAATTGGTAACTCAAATTTTTTCTCGGATTGAAATGAAAACTTGATTTCTGGTGCTATTTCCGATCGGATAGTTCAACTCATCACAACCGACTTTGCGTGAGATCATTTTGAATTGAATCTGGCTAAAGTGCTTGAAAAGTGTCTTCGAGAGGCTTCTCCTCCAGTTTCCTGATTCCTGTTTACGAACATGTGCCAAAATCTACTGACGTACTTGTTTTCACACAAAGAAAGAGAGTATTGATCTGTTAGAAGCAAACTGAGTGACCTCGTGGTTAACCACACCAAACATCACAAGCTCTCTAAAAGCAAGTAATATCTGTCATTTATCATTCGGCGCCGGAAAGTCTCATTTGAAGTATACTTGCCAAGTTTCCGTCTTCCGTTTGTGTCTATTCAGCTTTTCTAAGACCAATATTCTCGTCACATCTCCTTTTGATTTTAGTGAGTCTATACACCCAAATTGTGCTTATGAACAGTAAAACCAGCTTGCACACAAGTCTCTAACACACAAATCGATTAACTGGAATATAGGAAGGCAACTAAAAATATCACGTCTCTTAAAAATGATACAAAAATAAACAAATTGACCAACTTATGTCAAAATGGGAACTCAACTTACTACAGTTCGGGCTTTTCAACAAACAACTCTTCCATTAACTAAGTTTAGTTGATGAATAGCTAATCACGGGTTTAAGGTCGTTTTATTGTTTCATGCAATACAGTTTATACATTAACTATATTTATTATTATTGCTCAAAACATTACACAATATAACACAACTCAGGAAGCCTCAGAAGATACTGAAGCAAATATAACGTCATCGTAGTTCAAACTTTCTTCAAGGAACTCCAAACAAAAAAACATAACACCTAGAAAGTAATTCTGCTTTTACCAACCGGAGCTCTTCAATAAATTTGACACAGATTGTTAAAAGAAAAACTAATCAGCATTTTCTCTCTAATAATGAATAAATTTGGCGTAATTGAGCGAAAGCAAGACATCGAAGCGGGAAATGGGTAATTATTTATTTTTCGTCATCGTTGTGACGAAAATGCGAAGCAGTCAAAAGAAAGGATGGTTTCGCGATGTAAGCATTGATTTTAGCGTAGCTTGAGGGCTTATAATTGCTTTGTAGACCTGACAAGTGTCCAAATATTTCTAAGCTGCTTCCCTCCATATTTTGTAAGGCACCGCTTGCAAGACACGAAGACGGATTAAAAGTTAACCTTATTTTCTCTTTCCTGGGTCCTGTTTCTCCTAAACTGATTAAATCTTAGATTTAGGAAACTTGTAATCGCCTATACAACACACCGACAATATTAATCATAGCAAAATCTCGCGTTTAACTAAAAGCTTTTTACCTATTAGGAAAAAACCACTCTACACTAGACATTATTATGGCCTATTAGCAAAGTGCTAATTTATCAAACATTTTTAATTCATTATATTTTGCTCTAAGGGCCAAAAAAAAAAAAAAACAGAAAGAATGACAAAGGCGAATATTGAGCGGAAATTTAGAAAGGCCTTAACTCCAATTTCTAACACAAAACTTCTTACGGAATAGCAAAAAAAGCTTAAAATTTGTCGTCATTCATCACCGATTTGACAACAAACTGTGTAGCTAACGAAAACAAAGAAAAATATTGGCACCTGATAGAGGCGCCGTGTTGTCTGATCTTGAGTATCATTAATGAGTTTTAAAATAGCTTCGACAAATTCTTTTTTCCAGAACCCTCTTTGCTACCTAAGAGGATTGAGGGCTCTTACAAACCCCTTTGGTCAAATATGTATTACATAACAAGACCACAAGCTCGTGAATTTCATCTCCAATCATACCAAACGAAGAACATATCGAGACCTTATAAATAACTCGAACAAGTGGTAAACACGTGCCTTCGTATGTAGATAGCGTGACCAGATTCGTGACAACAAGAATCACAACCTCTTGTTACTCTAAATTCACGAAAGCCTGAATCAAGAGACATTTCTTCTACAGATTTTAAACGCTTAGGCAACCTCAAAATTAAAAACTTAGCGACGCTCAGCAATTAAAAACATTGGTTAATCAAGGAACACTATCTTAGAAAAAAAAACACTCCTAACGACCTTAATGTTGCAATGATACTGGATTACCGCAGAAAAGGCGAACCTCAAAAATACATTCACGTCTTATATTCCATTTCCTAAATTAACGATGATGTCTTCCCTTAATTGGTACATTTTACATGACCCTCCGCGATACTGAATTCTCAATTTGTCAAAGTTTGTCCCTCCTAGACTCTCCAATACAGATTGGTTGTCAACCAAAGCCACTCCTATCAGATAATAATAAATAGGACTTTTAAAGGTATCTTTGACTGAAAACGCCAAATCTTAACAAAGAGGTTTTACCCCAATAAACTTGTTTACTGGGGCAAACAAAGTTAGTGACTGAAAAGTATACGCTTTCAGACTGACGGCAACGTTTTAAGAATTGAGTTATAAACGTCGCAAAGAATTTCAGTCAAATATATTTTGGCTGTACAGTCTCGGGAAAACTCGCCTGTAGGCCTCGAAAAATACCGCAAAAAGCCCTGATCTTTAACTTCAGAAGCTTTAACTGATGGTTTTTTTTAATTCGCGAGGAAAGCAGACAAAATCATAGACTTCATATCGTGGAAAAGTCGCAATAAATGTTACTCGCGAATTTGCTGGTCATTCAGCATCCCTCATATGGTAAATTTTTCAGGCTTAAACTTATCTAGATCGAGAGTTTAAGTTTGAACAACATGTATCCCTCCTTTAATTTTTGCTTAACAACCATCACTACTACTACATGTGCACGCCATGGCGCTCTGATACAGCTGCCGAGTAGTTTGCTAAATACATAGAGACACGGGTAAATTTCATACAACAGCATGTGTTTGAAAGTAAAATCAGTCATTCCTAATCCCGCACCGAAATGACCTCCAGGGCAGCTAATCTGATTATCAAAAACCCTACACGCCCAAGTTGACATAATATTTTATTTAATCTACACTCTTGGCATGAAATGAGACTTCAGCTCAAAACGAAAAGTTAGGCAAGTTGTTCACATCTATAACTGTTTGTGCAGAATAGGCGACAAGCATAATTTCTCTTTCGCTTTGAAACTTCCATCACGATTAGTACAGATTATTATATTTCGAAGTGTTGAAAACAAAGTTCTATAATTAGTCACAGCAATCACGAGAAATTATCACAGCAGCTGGTATTAAAATTGTCAATATCTACTCAGAGTGGACTGAGTCCTTGATATAAAGCTTTCGTGATTTTAGCCTTGGAAACAAGAAATCCATAAAAGCTGAAACGTCTGCTTTCAATTCACAATTAATTTCAATGCACATCGCAAATGCTGTTATTAGAAGCTGCTTTTTTTTAGAACTGACAACCGAATGAATAATTTCCATTTTTCTCTAATTTTAAAAATAGTTTACGTGTTTGGGCGAGTGTTTAATCACTTGCTTGACACAGTTCACTGGGATCTTCTCAGACTAAGACACTTAGGGTTTTATGGGCTGTTATATTAGCTTGCCAGTGCAACACGCTCAGGGCACGAACGACTTTTGAATATTACATTAGTTTGGATACATGTAAGTTACCATGATAACCATTTTAAGGCTGAAATTACCACATGTCTGGAGCTTACAAAGTCCTCAAACAATGGTGGGTCGTGTGAACTAAGCACGCTTTTCCAGAATATCTTAGTAACGTGAACACTGCATGTCTTTACCGCTAAGAACCCTGGGTGATCTTTGTTACAAATTTGGAGCATTTATTTCTGACGTCATTACAATCTTGGAAAAAATGAATAAAAAAAAATAGATTTCCCTTCTCGTTCCTAACGTACCCTCTCCCTTCCCCAATCCACATCAGTGACAAAGCCGAAGGAAAGGAAGAAGAAAACTTTCTTGTAATTTATTACAAATACTGGTTCCTTTGTCAGACAAATTGAAGCGAAATTTTATATGCATTATCCTACCGATCCACGACAAAATGAGAACTTTTTTCTTGTAAACAATACAATGAACGACGATAAAAACTAGAGCAACACGAAATTGAAGCGATATACAAATAACCTTGGACCATCCAATTATAGGCCATTTTTTTTCTAAACAGATAACGTACTAAAAACGGGAAATTACAAGTCATCCGCTACAACACAATAGCACTTCAAACCGGCTGGCCTTTTCCTAAGTGGATTAAATTTCACAAAAGAAAACGGGAAATCATAAAAAAATGTGTCGCTCTTGGACTGAAATAAACACTTCAGAGAGAACACATAGCCTCCATTCTTAAAAAAACACTTTTAAAATTATAACTGCGGTTACTCAGTTTTTTAAACTCTATTTTGATTTGATTGTTTAGCTTGTCACGTTTTAAAGTGGAGCAAAGATCGGCTGATTTTAATCTCAACATTCTTGGCAAGATTACCCCTTAGAAATCTGGTTGAGACCTTAGTAAAGACAACAACACAACTCACGCCAAGTCGTACCCACCCGAATTTCCTGTTTACAAATAAAGAAAAAGAAAATATGGCTGACTTTCAGCGAACCTTGATGCGTTAGAACTCTGTCGTTACTTTGCAAATGTATATTCAGTTCGAATGTCGATGCAAGCACGAGCGCATAACTGCTGGACTGAAATCAAATGTCTGCCCTTCCCTTGAGTTTAATCGATCCCAAAAACGCATGCAGCCACTTGGTACTTTTAAAATTCTAGCTGCGTTTTGCCTTCATCCGGCTTTACCAAAGGTCAACAAAAAAAGACAACAGGAAAATTGAAGTCCAAGCTATTCAAGAGTTGTATTTCTAATTTTCCGGAGCCGGAATTACCTCTAACTCTGCCAAACACAACGTGTGCAGTCTGCCGTACACTTGAAAGAGTTTGCCTTCCGACCACGTTGTTTGTACACTGATGATAGACTAGCTGTTGTTTTAAGTCATTGCGGGAGGCATAATTGAATGTTGAGTCAATATTTAGCCTGTCTATTGTTTGAAACTTTTGCTGTGTTTTATTTTGGCCAAAAGTAACCGTGGGCACTTGATTCACCAAGCCGACCTGGTTGATTTGTCTTTTGTGAAGCACAACAAAACGCGACCTCAATATACAGCATTCATACTTGTCAAGGGATTCCCTACGTCACTTAAAAGCTATTCTTTTCCATGGAAATGAATCGAACTAATTATCAGCTGACTTCTTACTGAGCTGAATTTCCATTATGAAGCGAAAATATTAGCAGCTTTATAGAATCGTGTCACACAATGGTGCTAATTGGAGCAATACCTCGTCTACGCCTCTGATAAAAAACCTCTTCCTTCCCGTGTAATTTTCACGTCATTTGTTTGTCATTAACGCTGAAAATCGAGCTCTCACTACGTGAACTGAACTGAAATATTAGACGCAACTTACGTTATGAATAACATCCACAAAACTTAAGCAACAATTTATCTTGAAACACACAAAAATCCAAAAATAAAAACATTTCTAAAATGTTTTTAGAGTGAAACCTAAATACTTCACATTTCGTAGGTTCGTATCGCAAAAAGTGTCTGAAGCAGTAACATGTTTGTAATGAACTTCTCACGCCTTCCAATTTTTCCCTGCAACTGTTTTCGACAACTAAAACCATACTAAGTGACAGCAAATGAAAATTCAAAGCGCTTACTAAAGAATACAGAGAGTGCACTTAAAGAAAAACAAATTTAACAGCAAAAACAAACCATTAGCAAGGCTGTATTTACGAGCAGAAAAATCAGTGTTTTACAACATTCCATGTAATTACCAAGGTCAGAGGTTCCCGTTCAATAATTATAGTTTATCTCAGATAAAATCACCGCTCTACTTACCTGATGGCAGACAGAGAGATGCAACAGCCACAGTACTCTTCGTGAGCCTTGACGTTGTAGTGTAATGAAAGCAGTATTCTTCCACGTAATCTTTGAACAGTGTGCACAAGAAAAATGTCACATCGTGCCCTTGCTGCACGGCTTTTCGCACAATGGGTTTCTTGGAATCTTTCTTGACGAGGACTATAGCATCTTGAATTCGTGCATACGAGCAGCTCGGTGGAGTGAATGATATTGCCAGAGAGTTTGTGCATGGAAAAATCGTCGAGACAGGAGAAAAGAGAGTTTGTTTACCCCAATTGACGTAGACCGCTGCACTTTTTGCCAGGGTAACATTAGCGTAGCCAGTGCGATACTCGAAGAAGTACACTCCTTGCGCGTCGAAGAAATCGCAGGAAAAACCCATTCGAATTTGGGGCATTTTAGGAATTCTTTTCTTGCCACTGGACAGTTTACGAATGTATTTTCGAGTTACAAACATCGACTTGCTGCCACCTTGGACGTAATAAAGATTGAGTTCATCGCGGTATGCCTTTGGCAAACATTTGCGATCATGTCGAATTTTGATCGATTTTAACCGGGTTAAGACCGTGTGGTTCGTCGGTGAATCGATGATGATTCTTCCCCATTGGAGCTTCAGTTTCTGTGAGATAACCCCTCCATATTCACTGTCCGAAATGCGATACTTAAAGCTATATATGTCTGGGTGGTCGAAGATTTCACATGGTAAAATGACAGAAATTTCTCGGCGATCTAGCGGTACAGTTGTTTTAAAAAGTTTTCTGTCAGTAGCGTTTTCGTGGACGAAGACGTAGAAAGTTCGGTTACCAAAAAATCCAGTGAAATTGTTGGGAAATTGGAATGACAAAGTAACATTGCCGCCAAGAACTTCCAATGAGGTTGGGTGTAAATTTACGGCAAGACCTTTGAGTGGTCGTTTTCCAAAATTACCTGAAAGAAGAAAAAAATTATCAGTTATTTTTTGAATACAAGTTTACGTTTACGCTTAACAGTTCCAATATGGCATGTCTGTTATGTATTTACGCTGCGGTCGGAGAAAGATAATTTACATTAACTAGAATTTAAACGCTCTTTTGTCAACTATTACTAAATTGTGATTTGGATCCGTCCAACGGCCTTTAACTTAGGATGTCAACGCTCTGAATAGAAAGAACACGCCATGGAGGGAAAAAGTACTCCAGTCTACCTCATTTGAGGTTCAAGATATGCGCTAACCAGCAACATGTCGCCTGAAGTATTATGCGCAAGAAGATAAATTTGCACCAGTGAGTAGAACTGTTGAAAGCAGATATGCTTACCATCGGCTGTCGATGAAAGGACGCCGGAGGCTATTAGCAGACCACATAGACACACCAAACATGTTTCCATCTCTCTTTTCTCTTCATGGAATGTCTGTTGTCCTGAAATTGACAAGAATGGAATGAGGCGAGAGCGTTCGGACCGCACTTATATCTTCAGGTGATATGTGCCCGCCAGCGATCCGAAGGCAATGTTTCGCTTAAACCATTTAAGACATATAATTAATTGTCCACAATTATATTGTTACATTGTGCTGTAATATTCAATTAACGTTTGGTCCTGTTGTGTCCATTGAAAGTCAAACAATGACAAACTACTGGGCCAATAAGGGACTGCTAATTTGTTCCTTGGAGAATCCAGCGCTCAGCAGATGTACAGGAACTGTGAAACACGAAAGCTAAAACGTATAAGACGACATCTCGCCGTATTAAGTGTCTCGGAATACATCACGCTGTCCCCTGACACCCGGGGAGGTCATGAAACAAACCTTCAATGGGTTTTTTAGCTGCGATTTACCTCCCGTCGACATAATCATGTTTACTTAACAGATTTAACCTACTTCGTCTGAACTCTGCGAACAAATTAGTGGCCAGTGATATGTTAATGAACAAAACGAGAAAAAAAAAAACCACGATGTCAATTGCATTGATATCGTCTCAAAGCAACTAAACTACCTCCTTGTTGGACGTTTACATACATTAAGACCGTATCATTCTTCCAATCCATATGCAAATTTTGCGACTTTCACAAGTCGTTTTTCACACATCTGGCACCGTTGGGTGAAAATTACATGTGCAAGTGACAACAACCTGACAAGCAGGAAAAACATTTGAAGGCCCAATATTGCTTAGGACATGTTTGCTGCCGACCCGAATAAATTGAATTCTACAACACGCATTGGCCATCGATCGTTCAGCGCTGACAAATTTCCTAATTGAATATTCTGTTTTTACAGTAATTACGCCGTGACAATACATTTCCCTCCCTGAATACGCCCCTATGTTTGGTTTTCCAATAAGACACGTGGAGAGTTGTATTGAATATGTCAATCTCAATATTTGATGGTTGGCTGCGAGCCGTGACAATCGACGTCAACAAAATCATTACAGTTTTGTCTCAACAAATGGAAGGCTTCCAAAGACATCCGTGAAAATTATCAATAAATATCTCCTCCCTCTTCTTACAGTTTATGAATATAACACAAACCAAAGCTTAATTTTGTACTTACATACTCCTATCATCGGCTTAGGCGATTTCTTGATTAAAATGCGTCTTTGCCTCCACTTAAAATCGTTGCAATAATTAAAATGTTTGAATGGATTACGAAAATTTTGGTGGGTAAATTTTATGCAAACTACATGGTCGCTTCGTACAGCGAGTGGAATAAACAACTTTTGAGGCGGAGCTGAAGATTCTTCCTTCATTCACTCATTTGCCAAAACACAACGCATCGTCACGGCTAGGAAAAGTATAAATAAGATCAGGTTGCCAATCAGTGGCGGAGGTAGGTCACGGAGGTTTGCGGGCCAATTTATTATTCGCGATAGCAACAAAATTACGGCATGCATGACAATGTTGTAGACTCTTCCGTGCTTCAAATAAGAATTTTTCCTACACTATCGATCGATGATCAAAATCAGAAAATTTTGTATCATTCCAGACTGAAATTTGACGAATAGCAAATAGTTCAACGGCTTAGCGTCAAGCGAATTTGAACAGCTTCGCTAAAACACGCAAGCGGTCCTTGAAGATAACAGCGACTTGTGCATGTCGCAATGCAACGTCGTAAATTTCCCAGCTTAACGACTATGCTCCTACGCCAGGCCCAGCCTGGCATTTTCTCTACTGTGCACGCAAATTGATTGTAAACATTAGAATATTCAACGCCATCCTACCTCACCAAACGCAGCAAGACTTCGCAGTAATCGCCTAATCCGCAAATGATTGTTGGTTGTGTTTACCCTGGCTGCTGTCTGTTCCCAGCTCGTTCCAGCGTCGCTCTTCTACACTCTACGCGGTCCTAGCTTTCGCTAAACCGATTTAGCGTTTCATGCTGTGAAAGTCACACCGAAAGAAAACGGTTTCAGTTTGTTGGGGGTTTGTGCACGAGAGAGGCCAACCGAACACTTAGTATCGTCATTACCTGTTCTGGCGTTTATGTCTGCTACCGGAAACATACCGCACGCCACTGATCAATGGTGTATCTTTCATGGCTTATATCTTCCAGTAGATAAGAGGTGCACGTGGTCAACTTATCATTCACGTTGCTGATTTACATCAAAATATACCGTGTCTACTATTGACAACTGACGGTCGTGCTAAAGTGCATTTTGTTTGACAGTTCTATTGTATTTTGATGAGGTGGGCGGCGAAGTTTAAAATTTCGTCCAATAAAACAAAGGCGAGACTTGTTTTGATGGACAACATATCAACAGTGTTCCACCTTGGGGCGTTTATGAAAACAAGGCTAGAGATCTTCATTAAAAATTGTTCCAATATTTTTTCGCAAGTTCATATCTGACTTGGCAAATTTTGTTTAATTTTATTGTGACTGATGATGAAAATTTGCAATTCTTACATTTGTCAATAATCTATCGCCCTCTTTCTTCTTTTGAAAGCCTGTTTCAATTAGTTTCCTGCCAACCTTGTTTACGTTTGCCTTTTATTTTCATCAAAATAATAATCGAGGCTTAAATTTCTTAAAATACATAAATATATTCGGAAGATGTTGATCTGGTGTTCAAATTAATAAAAGCGAATTTAAACAGATCAGCAGTGAATCTGCAAATGTTTCTTTCGTACGTTAATTAAAGTAAATGAAAGTTGTTCGGTTGCAGACAAATGATTTTCCTTGATTTAAAATTACTAGTCTTTCTTTTGTTTTTAGATGGTTCTCTTTTTTAAAGAACAAGGGTTTTCAACCATATTTTAAGATTCATGCTATATTTCCTTGAGTAGAAAAATCGATTCTGAGATTTTTACAAACAGTAAACCCGAGTGATGTGATAGATGTGTAACGTTGAAGAGTAGCTCACATCCTAGCCCAGTGAGTTTTCCTGCCTCATTTTCACCGGTCAAATTTGTCAATTTATAAGACACTGAGATAGACGCAATTAGTACGTAAAGTGCCTCTATGTGTCCATCAACTTCTTATTTTGCATACAAGAGAAACGAAGTCCAAGCAGGTAAAGCGCCTTTAAGTCTGTGTTGGGTTGTACATCACTGTTCTATTCAAGAACTTGCTTCCGAGCCACGCCGGCAAAGATGTCATAAATCGAAGCAGACTAATGTCGTTTTTGTCTCGTGCTTTTTTAAACCACCTGACGTGAAATGACATATGCCATGAATTTTACAAAAGCACTCAGGGCTTTAATATTTAACATGGTCACCACAAACTGCGTATTATTGCCCAAATAGCAGAAAGGTACCCAAGGTCGACACTGCAAAACCCGTGATAAAGAACCAAATTAGTCACCAGTGGGTTCACCTTGCCGTCACAAAGTGTAAATAAAGCTGTGCAGTTGAATAAATTGTTTTTGGCGTAGTTTGTCAGGTGTTTTGTCAATTGGGCCCTCGCTGGCGCGAGAAAGTAAATATGGTTGGTCTTAACGGCGCGCTACGCATTAGCGAGAGATCGAGGTTATGTTCGTATTGGCTAAAATAATCAACCAAGAAGAGAAAATGCTTTGCGAAAACAAGCCTGTGATATTTGCCTTGCGATTCTGTGAAGAGCAAATATGTCTGTAAACAGTCTAAGACACGCAAGATAAATATTGCGTTGGTGACAGTGAAATCAAACCAAGATGCTGATTTTACCTGGATGTCAGTGTAATCATCTGACGCCACTGATAACCGCCTGGACTACCGTAGAGCTCGTCTTGAACACGAAAACTCAATAATGGAGCGAGTGGCGTATTCTAGGCCCGTACTTCGAATAAATTATGTCCTAGGATTATTTTCAATAGGACAAACAAAACACTAGCTACACACGATACTAAATAAATATTTTTGGACGAAAGAAAGCACATTTTGGATTGCAGATTTCACTGTCTTATCCAAAAGACGAAGCTTAATCATAGCGGATCACGACCATTAACTCTGGGAAAAAATAAAAAACACTGGCCATGCCAACGATAATCCGAAAAGATCTTGTTGTTATTTTAATACTGCTGGATGCAGAGCGGGAATTATCTAAGCAGTTTCAATTCCATTTCCGGATTATTTTGTCCAATGTACGGCTTAGAGAAAAGTAAAAAAAAAAAAAATTAACATTCACCGATTATGTTGCTCTCTCTTTGGAACGATTAATGCCTAGGAAACGAAAACATCATTTACTGACGGATATTTCAAAATTTTAACCAATTCTTACAATTTTCAGCGAAGCGAAAGGCTGCGTGATTACTTTAGAACCGACGTGGTATCTAAAAAGGCTTAACAAAACCTTTTGTGTTGCCAGTAGCTTATCCCGTTTGAGCACTGGCTGCAACAGAAAATAGAAAGCATTTGTCAGGGTTCATTTTTAATTCGCATCACTCTTGGGAAACCTAACTCCTTTACCGCTTTATTCACTTCCAGGCTAATCTGTATTTGGCTGAAGCCGTGTAAAGTGTCACTGGATTATGTCAACTATGAAACGCCCACGAATTTATTTATCCCTTTTGGAGAAAAATACGTTGAGGGAAACTATTTTCGATAAACAACGACTGTGCTTTTTTTCTTGTTTTTTCTTTTTCGTTTGGTGATTTTTGTTGATGATATACAGTTGCCATGTAATCGGACTAACGTCTCCGTACATTTTGCATCCTCAAATATATGCTAAGAGAAAAAAAAAAAAAGAATGTTGCAGTTTTGCCGAAAATAATGTAAATATTCTTGGAATTATTGACGCTGGAAATTTGACCTTGAATATAACCTCACAAGGAACATTTTGGTTACTTTTTGAAACATCCTTTTTTCAGAAACACTTGTTTTAATATCAGCTGCGAAGCTGATATAAAAAGTCTTTCTTAGGTCAACTTGAAACCATGTAATAGTTTTTGTTACCACTTAAGACTGTTCAGATTTTCTCCAAATGACAAAATCAGTCTCGGAGGGACAACTTTTATTTTTCAATTTTATTTAGCACCTAGATAAAACCTTCACCAAGTGCTGATCTTGTCTAGACATCTTGTAAACGGCTATATCATTCGCAGTATAATGGCGAAATAAAACACATTCATGTTGCTGTTTAATGTAACACTCATGACACTAACTTCGAAAATAGGATTTATCACCAATGCTCTTGGCCTGATTGTCATAACTCGCTGCTAGGTGAGCAGAGCAAATTTTATCACGTCCCTTACTTGAAAACTTGAGTTTAAACATGCAATGTTTGTTTCAAACTTACACTTGTATGGACAGATCTGTTGAGAAATTGATAAACCAATAAAACAAGGAATCAAACAAATTTAATAACACAGCTTTAGGATATCGTCGTTTCCAGGTCTTTCTCTACAAAAAAAGTCCACAATTGCAAAACGATAATTCGTTGCCTGCCGACGATAATAAAAGTTGTGGACGTCACAATCTATTCTTGTGAAAAAGGTATTTCTGGAAACCCACCTACGGGTAAGGATTTAGTTTCCACTCTTCCTTTTGATTTGTTTTGTTTGTTTGTTTGTTTATCTTCGTGAAGTAAAAGATTTCACCTTTAAATTTGGGTAATTTAAAAGGGCCGGTGAAAGGATGATAACTGATGGTTATTGAGATGCAATTAGGATCACAAAATTGACAGGCAGTTAGACAATTTGTTTAGCCGTTCATTCAGAGTCAACAATTTTTCATTGTGAGCATGGATGTTTAGCTATGTGCCCTGTTTCACCCATTTTGAAAACTCAGTCCCACAAACAAACATACCAAAAAACGAAAACAAATGACAAATGCCGAAAAAAAAAAAGACCAGCTTAAAAGTAAGTTGTATTTAAAATTAAATAACTTCAAATATTTATGGTATCCTGAGAAGTGCTTAAAACACAATGGAGGTGTCTTTTTTTGAAGGTGATTAGGGTTCATCTCAAGAACATTTGAAATCATAGATCTGAAAATGACCTGCTGGCTGACAGCTGGAGTACAAAATTTTCAGCCAATTTTTTTAGGCGTTTGTGTAATTCCTTAACCACTGAAAGACTCAGGAAAGTTAACAGTTCTCTGTTGTATGGTTTTACCAACCAGAAAGCGAATAGCAAAGCTATGAAACTTCAACCCAAATTTTATTCAAACTGGACGGGGGCATGACGAAGGGCGCGTATATTAACCCTTCCACTCCCAGTTCTCAGCAATGTCTGCCAAGCATATAATATGATCTTGTCTCTGAGAAATTGATGGTTACTCAAACAGTATCCTTTCCTTAGCATTTCTTTTTCTCCTCATAACCTTTTTGCCAGAAGCAGTAATCCCAGGGAACATTGCAAGGAGAAATTCTCAGTCGCCCACCCTCGGTATTTGGAGCATGGGTTAACATTTAAGACGCTTTCAAAGGAAGCAGAATTGAGGCACACAATTCTACATATGTTTAACTATAACCTCGTGATCTAAAATGGAATTTTTCTCACGAATTTAGTAAAAAATACTTTCATTAGTTATCTTAAGTCTAGATATTGTGCGCTTGTGTAACGGAATCATACAAACAATAAAGGCTTTGAGAGCTAGATTACGAATGTTACGTATGAACATGACCAAAATGCTCCTTGATTATGTAAGAGGGTCTTGGAAGACTTTTAATCTTCTATATTTTCGATAACTGAGATTCCAAGCTAGTTTTGAAACTATGGAATGAATGTCCTTTGTTCTCAGAGGGGAGAGTGCTTGTTTGGGGTATCTTCGGATCGAGATCACGAGAAACTGCGATGAAAACAGATAGTGTATTCTGACTTTGAGAATTATTTCCCTAGATAAAACGCTGGAATGAAGAGATGATGAGAAAACGAAAAGAAAATAAAGCACCAGATATCAATTTACGAATGGTAAGTTACGTATTCAAAGAGAAGCTTTAAAGGTAATCAGACAACGAAAGACATACCAAGCGAAGTGAAGTTGATCTGCTTCGTTAAATTTCATCGGTGGAATGTTCGCGCTCTGTGCTGCGTTGAATCGACTGAATTGATTTTTCATCTGATATTTATGAAGGATATGCCAAGTTCTTTGCAGGTAAGTGGAGTTTTAGAGCCGGAAAAACTTCCGTCCCTTTAGTGACAAAGATCCATAAGATGACGTTTTAATTCGTGCAGTAATCCAGGGAAAGGCGATAATACCAAGGAATTTTCCGAGTCAGAGTTCACAGCTGCGGTTCAGGCTAAAATATAATCTCTTAAAATTGTTTTTTCTGGTACCCTTGTGATGTAAGATTTTAACTCAGAAATTGCAGCCAAACCTCATTATCCATGAACTGATGCAATTATTTTTTCACAATAATTCTTCCCTCTTGCTGCTATTTTTAGACGAGTGAAATTAATATACATTCAAGGTGTGGCTATGGCAGTCCCAGGGTGTTTTTATGCGACTACCGTCTGAGTCAAGAAAAGGTGATAATTTTCCATTGTAGTTCAGTAAAATAACCTGATTTCCTCCCGAGACCAGTCGGATGCTGGGCTATGAACCCCTGCTGAAAGTTTGACGAGCAAGCACTCATTATCGAAATGGATACTTACATTTTTGCACTTTTCCCAAATATTAAGAAAGCTTAACAGCCTTCTTCTTTTTGGTTAGTTTGTTCTTTATCTTGGTAGTTTTTCCAGTCAGTTTCGAGGGGATAAGAGTGGGTGAGTATTGTGTGTGAGTGAGTGAGACAGCGAGTAAGAGACCTAGGTAACTGAGTGAGTGAATGAGTCAGTTGGTCGGTTAGCTTTTCATATTTCGAAGCCTCTTTTCTTACAATAAACATGCAATCGTATAAAAAAGAAAAAAAGAGCAAACCATACAACTTGTTTCAATGATTGAAAAAAATCCGAAATCATAACCAGCTTAGGCTATGTATGACAAGGCTACGTATGACAAGATCAAAAACATGAAGTATGCCTTTTTTCTCACAGTCTCGAAAAGGTACTCCCTTTTTAAAATATTTTGTTATGTCCATTTTCATTGGAAAACGTAGCATCCACAATAAGACTTCTCCCCAGCGTAGAAGATAGAATATTCCCAACTTTTAGTCGAAAAACGCTCAAATGATGGTGGCATTTATCGGTGCAACAAAACTGAAACGATGAATTGCGCCGATCTCCGTAACAAATTAATCAAAAAGACAAACAGAGCTTACTTGTTATGTGACAAATAACCGCGTGTATCACTGACCTACCTCAGTATCAGCCTTGGGTTGGTTGATGATCCGGATGTTTCTTCAGTCAGTTTCCCGAACCTATCTGCGCAACAGGTCGAGAGTATCTGAAATTCAAAATAGAATCAAAATACTTTAGTCAGCTCTCCATATCCATTAGAGTCAATTAAGTGATAAAAGCTACTCAACGGATACACGTCGTCAAAATGTGATTGTGTCAAGAGCACGCAAGGGGCCTTGAGTGAAGAAATTGTAAAGCTGTTTGGCTGGAAAGTTCTAAAAACGCTTTTTACACTCTTTGGAACAAAGAATCTCGATAAAAA